CCTAAACTCGCTAAAAACACTAAAATATTGACTTACATGTTGTTCTCGAGGTGGTGGTCCAAATTGAAACTGCAAAAACGGTCATAATGCTTCCTTGCATCAAGTCAAATTGCCAGACAATGTACAAGGAGCTCTGAACAGAAGCTCGGAAAATCTTTTCATCCGAAAATAAACCGACAACATTTGTTCTTCGGAATTTTCTCGACGCGAAAATCCCTGATAGTCAATTTTTTAGCCGAGCAAATTTCGGTTCAAAAAATACCTTTTGTGGTCCTTTAAAAATTGATCTGCGGCATTTTTGGAACACCCATGCAAAAATTGAAGCTTTTGTCCTAGAACAGGTCGCTTTATCTCCAAACTTCTCTGCAGTTTACTATTCCATACACAGCCCTACAACATTCCCATTATGCCCCACAAAAACTCGCTTAGTATTCGACAAAACCCATCTGATATTAGTTTTTTTCTCCCCCGTCACATATTCCGCGTCGAAATTTACATGACACAGAACGGAAACTCGGTGTCGTTGCGAAGACAATGGCCACACTCGCTTAATGTCCCTTCCTCTCTCTCTCTCTCATCGCTTTCTCCGGTTTTGGGGACGAAATGAACGGCTCGTGGAGGGCGTCGTTGAGATCTTTATGGGCAAAAAATGATGTGGTTTTGACAGGTCGGATCTTGAGGCAGGGCGGAGGTTCGGATTCGCAAATTTCGATGGGATTTATGGGGTTATCGAGTGGGGCTTTTGGCTCGGGGTAATGTGCCCGAGTCGCGGGGCTTGTGCAGCGCTTGTTAACGGGTTTTTGCCAAGGCGAATGGGATTTTTGCTGAGTTTTTTTTGTGCTTGTAGTGTCTTTTCTTACAAACTGGAGAGTTTTTTGATATTCGATGCTCAGAATTTGATCAGATTTGGGCCAACTTTGACGCTAAGAAAGTCTTCAGGCGTTCAGCTCGCATTTTGCCGAAATAATTTGATTTTTAGCTATGAATTCGACAGAAATCTGAGCCTCTTTTGTAATTTAGAGGCTCAGCAATTAATTTTTTCTCTTCGAATTTGCAAAAAAAAAAGAGAAGAGGAACGTTCTTCCTCTGACCATCTCTCCTAATCTTCCATAATCTGTAGCTTACAAAGACCGCTTAATGTCTTGGCTGAAACTGCAATGCTTTAGCTAATATTTTCAGCAATTCATATGTGATCTAGACCCGTCACCTTTGCAAATTTTAAAGGCATTCTAAGCCTCCTCCTCTGTGCAACTTCACTCTCAATTTTATTGAATTTTTGAAATTTTTCACACAGTCAATACCTCCACAGACCACTCGCACAGCTTCCAAAATACTCCATATCCTCCAAAAACCCCACAAAAACCCCCTGCCCTAATCCCCCAATTTACCGGAAGTGTTCGTCCTGAGTAAACATCGCCATTCAAGGACCTCCGAAATTATTCCAAGCCCCTAATAGCACATGCGTATTACGGGCCTACTTGAGAGCGCAACTTATACGCCGGACGTATATGGGCTGTGTGTGTGTGTTATATGGCAACGTTTGTCAGCACTTCACTTTTCGCCGGGGTTTCCGAGGTTATCGGCGAGTAGTGGGCGGTCGAGTATTATATTTGGGATTTTGGAAGTTTTAAGGGGGAAATTGGGATGGGAAACGGTCGAATTGAGGTATGTATAGATTAACTGAAGACTGAAGAAATTTTTTTGTTTTAATTTTTTTGGGTTTATGTGAGATTTTTAGCTTAAATTTTGCAAAAATCATCAAAATTTCCGGTTGAAAAAAGTGAAAATAAATTTTGTTCGCATTGCTCGGAGTTTGGAATTGGCATATTTTCTTGAGATATTGCAGCTAATGTCCTCAAAAAAACAAGTTTTTTCATACAAGGCACAGCAAAAAAACGGTCTTTTTTAACCCTGATTTTCTTATTTACCGACTACAAAAGATCGTTGAATATCTCAGCTGCGCCTGCAACGCGAGAGCTAAAATTTTCAGCATAAAAAATACAGCCAAGCTACACTACACATACAAAATTTGAAGACATCCCGCCCATCATACTTTGAGCTTTTCCTCATCCTTCTTGCATCCCTTGTAATCCCGACATTGCCAATGTATTCTCCCCGATCCCTCCGTTTCGCCCTTACATATTCCGATCTACTCTCGTATTCTCTGTTTCATTTTTGTTTTTAGGCCTTGAATATGGCGCGCAAAGCGGTAGCCGCTTATAAGGCACTGCGGGGCTTCCACCGAGAGAATAATGAGGGTCAGGTTTGAGTGAGGTAAAAATGCGGTGACGCGTGCGCCCGGCAGATGTCATTTCGCTTCGGAGATGGGTTCAAAATGCGATTTAATTGTCCCGCCAGGCTATGGAGAGTTTATCTTGGAGATTTTATAGTTTTTTTTTGAAAATTGAAGAAAATTTTTTTCTGATTTATTTTTTGAAATTTTTTGTATTTTTTTTTTTTTTTTTTTTTTGATTTTTTGGCTTTTTTTGTTCAAAATGCAATTTAATTGTCCAGCCAGGCTCACTCCATAGCATCTTGGAAATTTTTTCTAATTAAAATTTTTTTTTTATGATTTTTGCTGATTTTTGAAATTTTTTGTCATTTTTTTGATTTTTTGGTCTTTTTTCTGTGAATCGTATTTTGTCTCAATTTTTGGAATTTTCTATTATAAATTGACAAACAAAAATGCGATTTTTTTCTCAATTTTTATATTTTTTAAAATTTTTTTGAGTTTTTCAACTAAAATTTTCATTTTTTTTAACACCGATTTTTGCCTTATTGTTAAATATATTTTCAAAATTATCATTAACCCCTCAAATCAAATTTCCAACCCTCCATTTCCCCAATGATCACCAAATGCCCCTTAAAAAATCTCGAAAAATCGGACGTCTGGCAAACACAGTCGTATATCCTTATACATATGTTTCTTGCCTTCTTGGCCCTCGAAAACTTTCTCGTTTTTGTTCTCGAGATTAATCTGCCGCTTTCTTTTGCTGTCACTTTTTTTGTGTTATAATTTATTGGGAGGGAGAGCGGGAGGAATTGGACTTATTCAGATATTTTTTCATCGATTTTTGGGGGTTTTCGTATTTTTTTATTTTTTTTTTCGACAAGGACTTGAGCCGGCGTATTTTAAAATACATGTACTTTTTTTAAAAATGTACTTTTTTTTTAAAATTCTCACATTTTTTGCCATTTTTTTTTTCAAAAAAATCAAAATTTTTAGCAAAAAATTCCAAATTTTGTCGAATTTTCTTTCCTTCTTACACTCCCTTCACAATTTCGAGACTCCCATTTGTCTGGATGACAAATTTTCCGCATTTCCATTTCGTTTTTTCGCCTGTTGCTTATGCAGATGAATTTCCCTCGCGGTCATTCAGTCCTTGGAGGGCGCCAAAAATTTCCGTTTTTTTGGCATTCTTATTTTTTTCGAATTTAGAATTGTAAAATACGCTTAGTTTACTAACTCGGCTTTATTATTTTTTTGATATTTTATTCTTTTATTTTCATTTCCTTGGAATTTATCAACTTTTTTGGGATGATTTTGAATATTTTGTTTGTAAACATAAAAATTATTGGCTAAAGTATACTTGGATATAGATTTTGTTGTGAAATACGCTTTCTGGCGTCATTACAGATGATTTGAAAAAAAAAATTAATGAAAAAAAAAATCCAAAAATTGGACCACAGGGGGGACCAAGGCACTTTTTTTATTTTTTTTTATTTTGACTTATTTTTCAAAATTAATAAGAAATATCAAGTAAATTACAAACCTAGCCACACTTCCCTTACAAATGCCCACATTATTTCCCTCTGATCCTCCATACCCGTAAAAGTGGGCGGAGTTTTATTTGATCACCGATATTTCTCTTTTTCTCTGGCAACTCTCTCCTCTCTCGCATTTCGTATTAGCAAGCGAAGGAAGAGAGCCTTATTATAAGGGCATAAAGGACTCGAACAATAAGGGAATGAGATTATGAGGTTATTATAACGGGTGCAGATTTGTTTTTCCTTAATTTCCCCTTGTTTTCTCCCATTTTTTTAAAGGAAAATCACTTTTTAAGGAATTTTAACGGGTCAAGAAATATTCTTCAAAGGAGGATCTCGATAAATAAAGTTGTATTTTAGCATATCTCGATGCTTTCATCACAGATTTACCGTTAAAAGACATATTTTTAACAAAATTTTAATGGTTTTTTCTGTAAGAGTTGTTTATGGGATCGTTTTACAACTTTCGGCCCAATTTTCGCTCTCGAAATTATGTCACAGCGATTATAAAGCCATTTTTCAAAAAAATTATTATTTCCCTGCTCGATTTACGACTTCGTAAATGTCCACTTGTCAGCGCTTATGGGTTTACAATTGCCTCTTGCGGAAAGGGGGGTAAACGGGTGTTCTGGACCGATTTTGCGAGTCTTTCAGCAATTTCAGAGCCTTGCTCAAAATTTCCGTTTCAATTTCTCAATTTGCCAATTTTTGATTTTTCTCCCACCACGAAATCTATGAATGGCAAAAATTCTTGGCATTCTGCCCAGTTTCTTGGATTGCGGTTCGCAGTACGATAAATTAGTTCCAGGCGTTCTACTGGAGTTTGCCTCGTTGTTGTAGACATTTTTACTGGTTTGGCGGCTTGATCTCGATTTTGTGATATTATACTTGACATCTGCTATTTTTTCTTGGTTTTTTTATGTTGATTCTTCTGTTTTTGATCTTATTCTTTGTAAAATACGACGGCAGGGCTTGTATTTTGTCTATCCCATGCTTTTTTTACATTTTTTGCGGAGGTTTTCTCTACTTTTATTTTATATTGGACATCTGATATTCACCTTTCTTATTGTTGTTATTTTCGATGAAGAATCCTTGGGTTTGAAGAAGTTTTTTTTGTAATATACGTTGACTATTTTTTGATCCATAATTTACGAGAAATTTCGGAAGTTTCGGCTTCATTTCGCGGAGTAATCACCTATTTTTCGATATTACCCTTGACATTTTCAGGTCGGATGTTTTCGGCCGTTGGCCTCTTCATATTACTTTGGTTATCGCCAACAATACCAAGGATACGAGCTGAGAATGGTGAGTCTTTTGTTGTTCTGCCGTTTAGGTCCTTGGTTTTCACTTCATAACATTTTTGGGATATTATACTAGGCATTTGATGTTGTCGCCGCAAAAGGGGAGAAAGTTGGTTGATTGCGGCCTTGACTTTTTTTGCTAATGAGACTTCTCGGCAAATGACATTATAATTGATCTTTTTTCTCGAGATTTCCCGATAAAAAACCCTTCATTTTTGGCTGCAACAAAATTATATTGTACTTGACGAATTTTTGGTGTTTTCTTGCGAAAGCTCGATGAAATATTCATCCTCTCGGATTGGGATCGCCGTAACCTTGTTATTGGGTTAGCCCCTCGTCTTATCTGCCGTTAATATCAGGGTTCCCATCGCCCGGCTACCTGTTTAATGCACTCAAGAGGATCATATTTTAAAACCCGTGTAGTTTCTCTCCCCTATCACCGTAGCCATCTATGCCCCTTTGTAAGTCATTTTTACGGCCAATCCTTCAAATCGAAGCGTGGGAGAAGTCATCAGAGATTTCGGCTTTACAAATAATATTGATCAAGTGTAATATAATTTATTGGCCTGAAACCTCATTATCTTGGCCAAAAGTCGTTGCGGAAGGGAAAAACCACCTCATCCGTCATTCCGAGAGCGGTTTAACGACCTCCAACTGCGAACTTGAGGGCGTTTTTTGCATAAGACATCCATCCATTTGTTATATGCGGTTTATCCGCTTTTCAGAGAGAGGTTTTTTGATTGGCACGGGTCGGATCTGACCGAGAGACTGCTTAGTCCAAGGAGAATTCATAGAAAATCAAGAATCCAGATCGTATTTTGGAAAAATCTAAAATTTTTGGTACAATTTATATTGTTTTAGGTGATAAATGCAAAATTTCTTGAGGAAATATTAGCGTAACTGAATTTGACAGTTGCATGGAGCTTTATTAGACATAAAAAAGTTACTGACGTGTCTTTGAGCCAAAAAATTACATCACAAAGCAAAAATTTCGAAGATGGGGTATCACTCGGAAAGATGAGCTCATATCTTTGGGTAATCAACTGTCGCCGTGGAGATCTAGGTGTCAAAAGAAAGGTGTTGGGGTGTTATTTAATTTGAGGAACAATGGGGTTTGAGGTTCTTTATAATCTGGCGAAATTAAGAACTTTTGTCATAGGTGTGTAGTATAATATAAATATTGGTTAGTTTTTGGTGAAATCATGTTTTTTAGTCAAATTCTGATTTTCTAGGGTATTCATGGCCTCTTCTTTGATTCTAGAGTTCAACGGAGCCTTGGCTCTTCAAAAAATTATATTTGTTACCTAAACCTTATCTAAAGTAATATCAACTCACTAAAGTAATATCTTTGGGCCTAGACCCTCTAATCCGCTTGTGTTTGCCGAATCTTGCTCAAACACCGCCACAGTTGGTCCCGATTTTCGCCTCGGATTGAGTGAATGTTTCTTTTTTTTGTATTCCTTTTTTGATTGTGCCGCTCTCGACAAACATTCGGCGTCCAAAAATGTTTCGTTTTTTTCTGAGGTGAGGCGGTAAAATCAAGAGACTCAACAAGAACAAAGCAAATACCAGCGGCTGTAAGAGATATTTCAGCGAGGAATTAGGAGGGTTAGGGGAAAATTGGAGATTTTTTTTGATATTACACATGACATTAGAGGTTATTTTGAAATTTTGGAGATTCGAGATGGTTTAGGATGAATTTTTTGGTAATTTTAGGTAGTGATGGATTGAAGATTAAATTCTCTATGATGTTTTGATTTCAACTTCCGCTGAATTGGCCTTTTTTGGCTCTAAATCAGCCTTATATTCAACTTGATGCATCAAAAAAAATTTTTATCAAAAAAACATTAGCGCCAGTTTTATCAATCTTTTCTCATGATGATTAGCACAAATACATCTAAAAAACAAACATAATATTGGTTATGAGGTCAATGGCGCGATGACACATCAAAAAATTACCATTTTTATCAAAAGGATGAGATAAATTTAGAGAAAATAAGTGAAAATCAAGGAAAAAATTTTACTACAATACAAAAAAATTACATTGAATGATGTTTTGCAGACAAACCTGTAATCAGAGAGCATCCGCTCGATGTCTTGGTCGACAAAAATGACCCCGCTACCCTTCGATGCAACGTCACCGGAGACAACGTAAAAATCACTTGGTATAAGGACGACCAACCTGTAAATATTGGAAACGCTGCGCATCGACTTATCTTGCCAAATGGATCGCTGTTTTTGCTTAGAGCTGATCATGGTGAGATTTTTTGGGGGTTTGTTGAATTTAGGGACCTGATGTTCAAGGGTAATATAATAGGTGGAAATGATATCGAAGCTGCTTTGATATTAGCTTAGAATGTCAAAATTGGATTCATTTTGTGATTGAGTTGTTTATAATGACAATTTTTGAGGGTTTATATTATCCATGACCATATTGTTTTATGCAATTATGAATACTATAATTTTTGATTGAAAATCTGTTTTTTTGAATTTATAATAAGCCGAATTATGTCTTTCAGACCTCGGCACATATCACTGCACAGCATCGAATGATCACGGCGAAGTGAGCTCTCAATCCGCTCATGTCCGACAAGCCAGTCTTCGAGAAGAATTTAGAGTTCGCCCTCATAATGTGAACGCGGTTTTGGGCCAAAAAGCCATCCTCGAATGCTCACCACCTCGAGGATTCCCAGAACCTTCAGTGAGCTGGCGAAAAGATGATGAGCCCTTGGAGGATGACCGAAGATTTCAACTGGATCCTAGTGGAAATTTGGTCATTGAAAATGCAAGTGAAATTTGACTTTTTTTTGAGTGGATTTAGGATCTACAAGGATTAGAGGCCATTTGGATATGTTGACAAAATTTCGATTCCAGGTCCAACGCTCCGACTCCGGCGTTTATCAGTGTGTCGCTATGAACATGGTCGGTGAACGAGTCTCAGGCCCAGCCAGATTGTCCGTATCAGAGAAGCCACGATTCCTCGTGGAGCCAAAGGACGCTCTAAGCGAAGTCAACACCTCAGTAGTATTCGATTGTCGTGTGGCCGGCGAACCATCGCCAACAATTTCGTGGAAGAAACGGAATTGTGTCCCAGTGATGGAAGGAGGAAAATGCTCGGATTCCATGCCAATTGGAAGAGCGTATATTACGGATGATAGTCGAGGATTGCAGATTGATAGGTGAGGAAGAATTTGGAAGAAGTTTTTGATGATTTTTGGTGGTAAATTTGAGGATTTTTGATTTTTTGGGTGTATATGTGCATAAAATTGGGAAATTTTGAATTTTTTGATGATACATTTATGAATTGTGTGGGTTATTTGATTTTTTGGATTATAAAAGGCCCCTCACGATCTTATGAAAGTGTTTTTGGGATGAAAAGTTGAAAATTTTTTGAGATTTTTTGAAAATTTGACGTCTGAACCTTACTTTTGAAAAAACTTGTGTAAAATTTGCACTTTTAAAACGTTTTCTTTGCTATTTCTACTGTATGAAGGGATAAAAGATCTGTTTTGTCGTGTTGACTTGAAAAACGACCGTATTTCCTTTGCCTGTCCACGATGTTTTTAATAATGTTGTCAAAATTTTGCCTAAAATTCGCACAAAAGCCATTAGGGCCGCTCTTCAGGCCCTGAAACAAATAAAAATTGTTTTAAAAACGCTTCAGTGTGGCCGATCTTTTGTAGTGATAACGGCTTTTTTTAATACAGGAATTCCAAGGCTTTTTTTCTCGATTTTTTATTGGACTTGGAGTGGAACCTATTTTTTCGAAAAAAGCGGGAAAATTTTTGGTGTTGAGGGTGGAAAAACAGGTGGGAATGGGAGTGTTGTAGTTGGTGGAGGAATTCCCAGAGAGGTTTGAATTAAAATTACTGTCCTTTTGGGGAGAATAATCGAGTTTTGAGCAATTTTTATCAAGTATAATATAATTTTTTGCAAAATTTTTGCTTTTTTTAGAGTCCAACCCGAAGACGAAGGAGATTACGTGTGTGTGGCAAAGAACAGCGCCGGAGAGATCGAAACCTCCGCGAAATTGCGTGTGCAAGCCCCGCCAAAAATCGTCAAAGCTCCGAAAAATCAGAAGCTGAAGCCCGGAGAAACCGCGGAATTTGAGTGCGAAGTGACGGGCCGTCCCGCACCCGGAGTGGTCTGGAGCAAAGAAGGCGAACGCCGGTTCACGTTGATGAGCGGTCAAGACCTAAATGGCCGAATAGAAGTGTCGCCCGCAGGCACTTTGAGGATCAAGGAGGTCAACGAATTGGACGTGGGGAATTACGTGTGCGCAGCGGTGAATTCGGTGGGAAGTGCGCTGAAAAAGACCATGCTGACGTTGGAGATAGACGGTAGGTTTGATTTTTGAGATGTTTTGGGAGTTTGGGGAGTAATTTGTGAAAATATTTTTGGGTTTACATGAAGATGCAAGAAAATTTATAGAAATTTTGGGAAAAAAATTAATTTTTTTGGGTTGAAAGTTCCTAAAATGACCAAAAAATGTTGAAAACAAATGCTTACAACAAGAAATCGAAGTTTCTAAATGATTACGACCCAAAATAGAACCCTATTTTAACCCGATTTCGAAGCCACTTGGGAGAAGGTGCCAATTTCCCAATTAAGGCTCCCCCGATCCGAGAAGAAGTCACTTGAGGTCAGTGCATAATTTAGTCAAGAATTAGACGCAGAAACAAACAATGGGAAGTGCGAAACGCGCATATTATAATACAGGGTTAATTTGGGCCAAAACGGGAGAAATTGATTAATTTTGCCACTTTTTTGGGGAAATATGGGACGATTCGTACTGTAGACAATGGAGAATACTGTAGTAGTGATGTTGAGTTTTTATTTTTGGCTTTTCAAATTGATTTATAATGGTTGTCGAGATTTTTCAAAACATTTTGGACAGTTTTTGATTAAAGTCGCTGAAAATTTGTCAAAAGCCCAATATTTTCTCGTTCTTCATCCGCGAGTCTTCGATATATGATGCATTCATGTTGGAAACGCGCATAATCTCAAGCAGTTTATCTGAATTCTTAATCTCAGACCCAAATATGTTCTCGAATTCGGCGCGAAACCGTTCCATCAAACGCCTGTCCCCAGAAGGCTCTCCAAAATCTTTAATGCGCATATTTCATTACGAGGTCTCGTTTTGCCTCAGGGAGAGGTTGGGTTTGGCAGTGGCGACTTTTGTTTGGACCTTGGATATTATACTTGATGAGAAGGGGTGAAATTAAAAAAGGTATGGTATTTGAAGTTTTGTGGAAAATAAAGTGATGCTGTAATAAATACAGTCTCAGACAGGATTATGTTGCGAGAAAACGCATCCAAATGCATCCGTGATGCAATTAATTGCATTACTTTGCATTCTTTCCCTGACCAAAAAGAGCTGTTTCTTTTGGCAGAGAGGGGATGCAAAGTAATGCGATTTATTGCATCTAGGATGCATTTGGATGCGTTTTTTGTCACATGGGCCTGTCTGGGACTGTATTGATTACAGCATGACTTTATTTTCCACAAAATTCCAAAAACCCATCAACTTTTTTAATTTCAACCCTTTTCATCAAGTATAATATCCAAGGTCCAACAAAAGTCGCCATTGCCAAACCTAACCCCTCCCTGAGGCAAAACAAGACATCGTAATCAAGGGCAGTAATTATGACCAATGTATGAACATTATTTGTCTTGATTTTGGGCAATTTTGGCATTTTCCCCCAGAATCGATCCCCTTACTTCCCGTAAAAGGTACTTTTCAAAAAAGTAGGCTGCTCCCAAGATTTCAAAGTTATGGCCATCCACCCCACTCAATGTTTACCGTTATTATTGTTTTTGCTTATTGAAATTCAAGAATATCCGCTTTTCCTCCGCATTGCTTTTTGAATATTCCCAGGCAATATGAGTCAAATATCGAATACGAATGCTGACTGCGTCTACTCGCAACCTGTCATTCAAATTTACGCGAAATATTGACCGTCCCTAATCCGCATGAGCATTTTTCTGCACCTGCAACAAGCGATTTCCGCAGATTTTATGCGTCAACGGGTCGGAGACGGATTGATTTGTGTTCTTCGTTGTTTATGGTCATCTATTTTTTAAAAATTTTCGACGTTTTGAAACAATCTTCTTCTTAATTAGGTAGTGTAAGGCAATTTTTTGGGCACTTTGACTAGTTGAAAAGCTCTTCCCGCCTTTTTTTTGAATAATTTCTGAAATCTTCACTTCGATTACCAGCCGCTCAACGCGCTGCTCTTGACCAGGCCAAACTGTCGCATCGGCATCAATTTTCACTTTGTTTTGGGAGCGGTGCGCCTTTTTTGGAAGCGGAGCGGCGCCAAATTGCCGGCCCGAAATCCAACGCATCGAATGCACAAGTGCCGAATGTCAAGCATTCATCGATACGCCCAATGTTGGAGGCATTTCGGATTGCTTTGTCGAGGATGTAGCAGAATGTTTTCTCTGAGGATGTCTGGCTCTTAGATGGTATAGAATAAGCCTCTGTTGTCTTGGATGAAGTTGAATTGTTGTTTAGTTTTACGTCATTGACTCTGTGAACCATGTAATTTGAGAATTGATTTCCCTCTAATTGATCGCAGCGATTTTTTGCGGCTTTTCCTTTTCTGTCCCCACCACTTGTTGGATGTGGAGGATTAGGGCGCGGTAATCGGATGCAATGGCCATTTTTGGTGCGCCTTTGCGGTTTTTATTATTAATTGCACTGCGAGCTTTGGTGAGCCGTCGATTGGTGGGGAATTTGTCGAGAAATCAACCCGTTTTTGGAGATTTTTTTTTAAAAATAGGATTTACGGTTATTTTGTCTTGTTTTGCGCTAGAATAATGTTTTGGGATATGGTAGAAGGGGTCGAAGACGATTTCAAGACGACATATCCCCTACCGTACCTTGTTTACCTGTTTTCCAATCGAGCAATGCCCTCCCACCCCGCAATTTGAAACCACATTTCCCGCAAAATTCGCGTACAACTCCCCCCATCCGTACTGCATCGCCCGCCGTATTGTTCAGGAACAATACACCCACCCCCAGCTTAATTTTGCATGGCCTCCTTTTCCGCTCACCCGACTCATTTGAACCGCTTTGTTGGCTATTGTTTTGAAGATCAGCCTCCTCCTGTTGGCGTACGGTACGCATTTTTGCGCCGAATTTCACTTGACTTACCGTTTTATTTCCCCATTTTTGGCGTTTTATTGGAAAATATATTTATTGCTTTATAAGGGAATCACTCAATCATCTGGCGGAGTATCGCGTGCATGGCTACGGAGCGATTTTTGAAAGGATATTGTCTTGAAAAGCGATGAATAATACAGTGAAGGACCTGGTCCAGTGGCAAAAAACGTATCATTTTGCATCCTGGAAGTATCAAAAGTGTGGCAAAATGCTTCCCTCTCCAAGTGAAAAAACTTCGTTTTGAAGCGCCCTTTTGAAATCGAAGTTTTTTCACTTGGAGAGGGAAGAATTTTGCCACATTTTTTATGCTTCCCGGATGCAAAATGGTACGTTTTTTGCCACTGGGTCAGGTCCCCCACTGTATAATTTCTATCGGTGTTCATTGTCATGGATAGAAGAGCGGGTACATTAGCGAAATGCAAAGAATTTCCTGGTTGTCCAGCTGATAGCTGAAAGCCCCAAGACCGGAAATGTCTCCCCCTCTTGATCTTTCGCTCTTCAACCATTGTTCTTATTACGATATTCGTTGCAAATCTCATGGCTTTTTGTCATTTGAAACATTCGATACGGGTCTAATCGATCAACTGAACCACTTAGAATATTCTGAATATTCTTATAACAAGTGAATGTTGAGAAGGAGATTTCTGTTCCTGCCCTAATATTTGTCTAATATTGCGCCGACTCGTCGATATTTGAATGGAGATTGTGATAAAAAGAGCTGTTCTAACCTTCTAATATTGTGCCAAAATTATCTTAAACGCCCTCCGTTGTGTGACTCAAAGGTAAACAGTGGGTCTATCGAGCCTTCTTTGGGTGATGGTGAGCAGGTGAACGCGGGTTAATTCCCACCACAAACATCGTAAACTGCCTTGATGGTATCAAAAGTTTGCTCAAGAGTGGCGGTTGCTACCCAAATATTAGGGAAATGTTCGGAAATATTCGAAGTTTGGTAGGAAAATTAGATTTTGAGTGGCTCTGGCCTACTTTTCGTATAACAATCTTGGATTTTTGCAAGAGTAATTCCCACTTTTGGGACGAATTACGAAAAAAACTTCTCCGAATTCCCTTGTCCCACTTTCGTAAACTCGGGAGAATTAAATTAACATGTCTTAACACAGAAATCCCTTTCGTAAATCCTCGGGAAAAGTCCATTATTCTTCCGGAACAAAAACCCTCGGCGGAAATTCATTTGGGAAATTGGAAAACCTTGCGTCTCTCCAGCTGACGTGGAATCCCAACTCGCTTACAAATTGCCTATTGTCAAGGTTTCTGGGGCCACTTTGGCCACCCGGCGATCTTATGAATTAACTCACGATATGTCACCGGCTTTTTGCGGCGATTGTGGAAAAGAAACGCTGAAGTCGGTGGGGGTTTTTTCGAAGCTAACTAATGAGCAGCATGGAAATTAGGCTTATTTGCATTTTGAAGTCAGCGGCGGCTTTTTTTTTTGGTGTCATGACTTATTCAGCAGGGATGAGAGTGAATTTTACAGAAAAATTACTCGATTTTGGAGGGAAATTTGAAGTTCTCGACCACTTTTGTTGCCATAGTTTACACTTGGACCCCCGCTGACCCACCCTTGTCCAATATAATTTATAACAATGTCTAATCCAAGCTGTTCCGAGATTAATCTCATCGCCGAATTTCGCACTTGGCATATCTTCGCGCTTCGAATATTGCGCGAAACCATTTGGAATGGATTATTTGGCCAGAGGCGGCTTAATTTTGAATTCATTGGGTTTAAGTTGATGTGAAAAATGGTTTTGAGTATGGAAAGTGTGGTTTTCTTGGGTCTTCATCGCATTAGTCGTACAGTGTTCCTGACCATTCCGCTCGAACTCCTCGCCCAAATTCGTCCTGTCCACTCCAAGCTTCCCGACCCATATTCTCATCTTCTCCACCTCGATTCCCGTGTTCCCGAGGAATACTCATACATTGTTCATCCCGTCCGCTCGCACCTCATCAAGCCATGATGAGGGAGGCAATTCAGTTTTTATTTGAAATCCGACCCCCAACGTCTTGTCGCACTTAATCTCGAAAGACGAGTCAAGGCCGTGTTCTTCACACGTTCGCAAGGCGTGAAACTATGCACTTGCACTTCCGAGCGGACTGTCAGATGGCTCTTGTAATTTTGCGTAGGGTATTTGTTATACTGGAAGGTTCTTAGAGGATTCGGTGATGTTGGAGTAGATGAGGTTTGAATTTTCGTAGATTGCATAAATGGACTTACCCTTACTACTATCACTTGTGGTCAAGACAAGACCAGAAGTGATAGTAGTAAGGGTTAGTATCACTTTCCCGACTTTCTATCACTTTCTGGTCTTGTCCAGACCAGAAAGTGATAGTAACCTGTGTTTTCCTCAACGAGCCGATATCATTTATCTCCAATCGGATCAGTCGGTATTTTTGCGACAATTTTACGACCCCCAACCCGTTCATTCCCTTTCATCGGGCCATAAAGTCAAGAAAGCACCGGCACGCGGCGGACAAACAAAGACTTCTCGAGAGGCGAAACTGAGAATGGACCGATAATTTTAGAGTTACCGGCTTCAATAAAACCTCTGAAGGTCTCTAATTTAGATTGGAGCTGGAATACATGCCCGATTTTTTGGCATGTGTAAAGAGGAGTCTGATTTTCTTGAACGAGGCCTTACAGTATCCGTTTTCCCCTTGTAAAGTCGGGTTCTTGGCTTCAGCTCGGCTGGAGTTCGCATAAAAAACAACTGCGTCGTATGGAAGCGATTTTGTGGTTTATCGGAAGCCAGCCCATTACTCGGATTTTTAACGGCGCTTCACCCAAAAAACATTTAGAACAGATTGCAGTTAATTTCGCGAGATCTGTTCTTATTTTTAGTAGGTTTTTGGAGTATTTCCTTGTCGCAGAATCCCTTGTTATCTCGAAATTTTGAGAAATGGTTCGGAAATTTTACGCATTGATCCTTATCACCCTCCACAACCTTCAAAATTCGGCTTGTTCTTGTTTGTTTTACCTCTGAAGTTTTTTTATTTTTGGTTTTATCGTTTTTTGGGGCTTGTACCGGCCTTAAAATACTGTCTTTTAAAGTTTGGAGGGCTCTTGGGGCCGATTTACATCCGTTGTAAACAACCACTTGCCTTCCATAAAATTCCTTGGAACTCTAATAAACAACCAATAAACCTCAATTTTGGGAGTTTAATGGATTTATTGTAGTTGTTTTCAAGGCGTTGGTAATTTTTTGATTTTATCTCTGGTCCTCGTATCTGGTCCTCGTAGGTCAGAACTTGGGTAAAATAGGTCTCATAACTTCTTTTGTCCTCCGAATCATAATTTATGACCACTAAAAATCACTACATCAAAACCCACGGTGCGCCATAACGGCGCGCGGTTTCGAGCCGAAAGAACAACCTGTCAGCCATTAATCATCATTTCGTTGCCAAATGGCTCAGAGTTTTCGCCGAAGTCTTGTTTATTTTTTCTCCGATGAGGTGCGGACGCTTGTGAATCGGCTAGAGACGGCTTTGAGGGTCAAGAAGGTGGTTTAGAGGCCAAAAATGGAAGCGTTTTGGGCGTGAAAAATTCATTTTCAAGTCGAAATAAGAGTTCGTAGCCGATCTAGTCATTTTCTTTTTTGAAAATTTTTGATGGCCCGATCAGCCAATGGGAATTTTCATTTTTGTAGGGAGTTCTCAAGCTTTCTTCTTCTTATCCAACCCTTAATATCCGTCCATACTTATTGTACACTCCCCAAAAACTGTAGCGGCTCGGATTGACCCGCCTGTCTCCCTATTTTCCCACCTTTACATGAATAAAAACACCGACACAGTGATGAAACATAGCGCCGGGAAACACAACGGGGATTTTGTTTGTGCAAACCGGAAATTTATACTTTTTGCGACGCGTTTTTACGACCAGCATATTGTTGTGCAATCAGGCTGTAAAACATTGTATGCGCCGCGTTTTTGTCCGCTCTTTACGGTCGACATAACGGCGGAAGTTCATGATCGATCCGAATCTGGTATCTAGTAGGAATGGATAGGGGTTACAGACCGATAGCTTGACTTATAGAGCAGATATTCAGATATTGCCTTATTCAGTGGTCTACTGCAATATTTCACGTCAGATTGACTCGAAAAGCAGTCGATCTTCATTAAAATCCGAGTTCATTGAGTGCCGAGGTCATCATGGCTTCTTTATAACGATTCAAAAGAAAGTCCTTGGCGCTGTTACTTATACTCTTCAATAATATTTGGCGCCGGGCAGTAAAAAACGCACTGAATGAGGTTTTATGAATATTTTTAGCGGTGAGATGATCCGGGACTTCTTTATTTGCTCGTCTTGGGCTGCGAGAGGACCTTTGAGAGGGTGTTCGGAACTAGGATCATGGATTTTATAGAGTAGGTCTTCCTTTACAACAAGGTTTTTATATTATACTAGGCAAAAGTTGAGGTTGACAAAAATTTTGTCCGTTTCTCAAAAACAGTCAGGGTATTGGTAATGGTCACAACCGAAAACCCCGGCTCATAGCCTTTTCCTGCCTATAAAAAAGCGATAAAGTTTGTTTTATGCCCTCCGGATCCCTATTCTCTTAGCTCGCACATCGCTTTTATTTTAGTCGTAAAACACGTTCAAGACCCGAAAAAACCTGAATTTACATTCTCAGGTATACGGAAAATCTGAATGTGTCTAGCATGGCGTTTTGTGCATTGTTTTTTTAATAAGGGAGCTTTTTATATTGTACTTGGTGTTGGAAAATTTTAATTTTTTTTTCTGATTTTCCCGCATTGTTTGCGAAGAAGATGATACGGCGGATAAAATGGCGATTTCCTGTTGATCCGCTCTCTTTGCACGCCTTATGTCGGCATGGCCATATAAAGCGAATAGCCGCATTCGTAGTCGATCCAATTTTCAGACCAAATAAAGGCCTTTTTTGGCCATACTGGTCTAAATTTTTAGGTCTGATTTTTCGAAATCTTCTTTATTTCTTATGGAAATGGCTCTGGATTATATCCAAGTCTGTTGGAGATCCCAAAAATTAGCGAACCTTGATTAATCCCATTTTTCCAACACTTATAACCCATTCATTCATTTTGACTACTCTTCGCGCAACCCCCCTCTAATCGTTTCCTGAAGCCATGACCATCCGTTAAACCGCTCGCTACAAAAAGCGGAACGCGGTTTTCGCCTCAAGTCACCGGAAATTTGTCTCTCATCCGTTGAGCGCGAAATTTTCGAGTAAATTTGTTTTGAAGAAGGTTAATTTGCCTTCTTTTATGGCTTTCTGGCCGCTTTACGGATTGTCTTCCCGAATGCGGGAAGTTTTGGCCGTCACGAACACCTGCAAGCAATTAGAGAGTAGTTTTGAGAGGAAAAATGCCTAAAAAGTAAAACTTTTTTGGTATTACGTTATTTCTTAGCGCTCTGCCATATTGAAATACCCTCCTAATGGGCTTAAATTACGACCAATACTACTGTCTAGAAGTATTGTTTTCCCAAGGTCGATATCCCACAGATTTTCGACCAATTCTTCCCGCAATTACTGGATATCACCCTCGCTTTCGAGGACAACTAAAACACTAGATCCTTGCCATAAAAATCGCTACGGGCTTTCCCAACATTTCACACTCCCATAAATCGCCGCGAAATGCGTTTATCCCCGTCTCTGAGTTTTTTTTTTTTACTCTAACGGTCCGCAAATTATGCAAGATGCGTTTCCATATTTTCGTTGAGAAAGAGCAGGTGAATCTGTGATCACAGGTGTGGATAAATCATCAGAATTGGTCTTAAAGAGTCGAAGAAGTCGACTCAGACTGAAATCGGGCAAAATACGTATTGTTTTTGCTCTGAATTCGTTGTTTTGGCCTTTTTTTTGTCTAGAATAAGGTCCAAAGACGTTGGGAAAAAATATTTTGAATATTTTGAACCTGTATTTTCCCCAGAAAAATACCATGCACACCCTCTCGGAACGCTAATTAAAGACCTATGTGTAAACATAGACCCCGTTTCCTCCTTACGTAATTACCCATATTCGTTATTCCCCTTCCTTCAACATATGCGAAACGAGCGGTAATTCGAGAAAATATTTTTGTTTCTTTTCTTTTATGACTAATTTTTGTACGAATACAAAATATCTGCGCTTTCCAAGCTTGTTCGTATCGGATATCGTCTATTGTAACAGATTTTTTGGAGAATTTTGAGGATTTTTTTGGTATTTTGAGTCATTCTTTGGATCAGAGAAGGTTCTTAAAGTCATACAAATTTTTTGGATACTAGAAATTTGTCATAAAGGGGTTTTTGAGTCATTATTTTTACCTTAAAGTACGCACTTCTGGAAGCCTAGCAATACACTTGGCCAAATACAGATTATTTCCCGTCGGGACCCGTGAAATATGAATTTTTTCCCACGACCCCCCTCGAATTTTTTTTTGCTGGCGAGAATAGTTTTGCGGTAATATTTTTCACGGCTTTTCCTTGCTGCGTGTAAAACATTTTTGAGGTGCCGGTATGATTTCAGGATTAATAACAGCTCAATATTACTAGTCCTTCCGGAAAGTCGCCGGACTGGAGTCGGCGACACGCACTGTGCGAAAACAAAACTTTGCTTTGCACCTGTGCAGTTTCTTTCCTTTTGCACCGTGTAATAGGCTTTTTCGGGCTGTCGTTCACACCCTGACCTTTATCGCACAGTGCAAACGCCAAAAGTTAGTCCGGCGACTTTCCGGAAGGAGTAGCAACATTGACACTGAGAGAGACTTTATGATCGCTATAACTAACATTCATCTTTAATAACACATGTTAAACGTATATTCATTACCTTTTATTATCTATTCTAAACAAAAACCTTCCAAAAAATTATTACTTCCTAAAAGATTCAACAGGAATAATATTATAATAAGTTTATTTTTCTCCTTATTAACATGAACAACATAAATAAGACAGCAATGGCTTAAGGATGGGACCAATGAAAAGACAGTACGTCCCTTACAGCCGACGTTCTTGGTGTGCTGACCGTGAACATGAAGACCCCAATAGTGACGGAGACCACGGTGAGGACGGATCTCTATGCGTTCCAAAACGTCACGGAGCTTCGAGTCGACAACAGTGAAGATATCCTGAAAAAACCGTCGTAACTTCATCAAGTACACACAAAACGCATCCTACTGTTTCCAGATAAGCTTTTTTTTACCTAAAACTAACAAAACAAAGAGAAACGGAACTCACTTTGATGTATCTGCCATCCTTTAGTCTGTTTAGGAACAAGTTGAGGATCTTGCACTGGGTGGGGTTCAACAACAACGCGCATCTCAACGGCGGGATGGAGACTCCACGATTAGGGCGGATCTTCCTGCATTCCAAATCGTCACGAGGCTTTGATTTGAGGGCATGGAGACAACCTAAAAGAAAATTAGTCAAAGCTTCATCAAGTATAATAAAAAAATGCAACCAGCTAGTCCCCGTAAAACATTCTCGCGATTCTCGCCAGCAAAAAAAAAATTCGAGGGGGGTCGTGGGAAAAAATTCATATTTCACGGGTCCCGACGGGAAATAATCTGTATTTGGCCAAGTGTATTGCTAGGCTTCCAGAAGTGCGTACTTTAAAGACCGAAATGACCTCATAATTCCGGCTTTGATTGGGGCGCGAAAAGTCGAGTGCACTTGTTTTTGGCCGCCCTGCGGCGACAAAATTTGTGCTTGCGACGTGAAAAAGTTGGGCAAATAGACGCGGCGACGGAAGATTTCCCGAATAATCGGATTATTTTTTTGACGTTTATGGAGCAAGGAGTGACCAGAGTGCGAAATTTTCTGAAAGATTATAAGATTTTTAGAGGAAATTTTAATTTTTTACACCTGTTTTTTGGATAAAATATGACCTTGTAGGAGACTAAAGTCGTTTTCTGGCCAAAAGATTTGGTCTGGTCCAAAAATTCGATGAATTTTCCACTTGGTTTAACCCATTGTAGGGCCAAACCCAACCGAATTACTCAGTTTCCAACACGAGAATTTCGAAAAGGCGAGAAGTCGGCGTCAATTTGTTTTCGATTAGCGCTCAGATTGGATTTGTTAGGATCATTTTTTTATGGCCCGAAATCTCCCAATAAAATGTTTTTCGCCGCATTTTTTGGTGATTTCGGGAGCAAAGTTGAAAGGGATTTTTAAGAAGTTTGTCAAATTTTGGAGAGCTGAAATATGATTTGGAAGATGTTTGAAAGGGTTTTGGGAGGTTATTCTTTTTTGTTTTGCTGGAATTTAAAAAAAAGTTTTTAGGCCAGATTGGATGAGATTTTGCAAAAACTGGACAAAATTTTGTATTTTTTGGAGATTTTTGATGTTTATTTCTCCTATTTTTTTTGCAAAATAGGTAAAAAAGTTTCTTTCGTATCCCCCAAAATCCATAAATTCCCCTAATTCGGAGCTGTCAACCCCCTCGCTAATTTATCGCGCTGACCTCCCACTTACGCAACAACCCCCAACACTCCCCCAATATTGTCCATAAACGGACTTATTACAGTCTGCAACACTGATTACGCAATGATTCACGCGGCATTTTGCCCGAAAATTGTCGTATTCGAAGAAAGAAAAGGGGGATTCGAACACCAAACACAGGTGAATGGCCAGGCTGACAAAGATGGAATTTAAATGAGCGATGGGTTCTTTGGGTTGAATTGTTCCATCTAACGGGGTTGGGAAGAGGTTTCGAATTTGTTTTTTGCGTTTTGGGTAATAGAATAGGCACAATTGGATATTGTACTAGGCCTTGCTAGGGAATTTGGATGATTTTTGGAAAAATTGGTTGAATTTGAGCTTGCAATGGCTATTTATGGGCTTATTAGAGACTATTCCTCATTTCGTAATGATTTATCTGCTATCACACTTCTAAAAATATAATTTACAACCGATTTTACCTCGAGAAAGCCACGGTCTTTAGCGTTCTGTGTTTTTCTGTAAACAAATCTTTGGGTTAAACACATTAATCTTGGTAGTTGAAGCCATTAGTAGCTGTCTTCATTCATTTCCGTAAAGTTTTAATGTGATTCGGGAGCGGATTGACTGGAAATTTATAGAAAATGTCTAAGCTTGTATGATTTTATGGGTAAATCTTGGAGAAGACGATTTTGTTTCCGATCTTGAGGTTTGGATTTGTGATTGACACAAAAAAATATGTGTTCGTCGGGAAGGGAACGACATCAACTTGTGGCCTTTGGCCGGTCTAATGGATATTTTGAGGAGTTTGGACCTTATTTTAGACGAAGGGTCATTCTGAGTTGTCAAAAATTTGTCTCGCCTCAATTTGTTATAAAATAGCCCTTATGACTTGTTAAATTCCCTAATTAATCAAATTTGACTTGGAATTTGGTCGTGTCAAGCGGCCATTGTCCATTACTTTTTGATTTTGTCCTAAAATTTTGCGTAATTTTGAGCTTCTGATGACTTTTTTTTTAAATTTTTTTCCAATACTTGCCGAGTACTGTAATATTCCGCCTCTTTTCTTCATTGTTCCTCTTTTAGAATCCCCCCAAAAAAACCAATGCGTTAGCCAAACATTGTGAAAGGAACGGCACACTAATCGAAAAAAGTTTCGGCCAAAAAAGGTTTTTTGAATGAGAAAACGAAGGAAAAACTAATAGTTATTCAACAAAAATGGTGTTTGGAACAGTGTTAAGTCTGACAACGACGCTGTCAATGGCCTGTATATACAATCCGGCACAATGCCCGAATGGAAGTATGGATTTTTGGGAAGAATTTTGGGGTCTGGGATGTTGTAGTAGAGATCAGATAAAAAAGTGGGAATTGTAGTTGATATTGGTATATGTATTGGGATGTTTGGGGTTTTTTAGAAAGGTTATGGGTCTATTGTCAAATTGAAATATCAAAAAGTCGGGGTTATGTTTGAATTTTGGGTCAGATTGTGGTTCCAATATTATACTTGATACCTATGAAAAAATCAAATATTTCACATGAAATTGGTTTAATGTACTGGGAAATTCATGGGTTTTTAGAAAGATTAGGGAGTAGTTTGCATCTTCATATAACCAAAATTGGGGTGGAACTTTATTTTCTGCAGTTTCCAGCATTAATTATATTACTTTAGCTGCCAACGCGGTCCCACCTCCGCAAATCACGTACGGACCATCGAATCAGACCCTACTAACACACGATATAGCCATTCTACCATGTCAGTTTACCCCAGCACCGCCCGGTCGTGATCCCCCAAACGTTTCGTGGTTCCATAATTCCATTCCGATCAATCGGGACGATCATCGGTTTAGTGTCTCACCCAGTGGCACGTTAAAAATCACTGATTTGAGGTTGGTTTTAATTTTTTCTTTGGTTATTGGCGACAAGAGACGATTATTTTTAGTAATTTTCATGAGCTTGACATTCTTCGATATTACACTTGAGATTTTTGACGATTTTTATCATTTTTTCGAATTTTGATGGCAGTTGGCCGCCTTTTATTGATTATATAGACAAATCCCGGCTTTATAACGCTATTCCCTTCCACCTTTATGGCTGCAATCGCGGGCGTTAACCGGTTTTCTGCCAGATAGCGGAATGGAACATCTGCCAGAAATAAATCGTAAAGGAATTTTTTGATGGAAATCTTGGTGTCCAGGGTGGGATAGACGAAGATTGCGTGTTTTTATGCAATTTGGAGGAGGTTGGGGACTAGTTTTGGGAGATTTTGAGACAAAATTATATTACTTTAGGTGGATTTGATGACAAACGCTGATGCGCTTTTAGTTTGGCATGCTTTCGAAGCCTCGAAGCCTGTCTTACAAATCATTTTTGTTTTGATGAGAAAAAAGGAAAAAATTGGCCAGATAATTTTTCAAAAATTTGATCGAAAATCATGTTGTACAAGCCGCCGCCCCCTGATACGCCTTGATTGATGCCAATCACAAATCTCCGCTGGTGGCTTAAGAGACTCATTTCCCATCTCGTTTGGCGTTTTTTACATCCCACAAAACAAAATAGCCGACAGATGTTTCATTCGATGCGGGCCGCAAAAACAAGGAGAAATTGAAGGGATCGTGGCTCGGTATCCGCCTGGGAAAGCAAGAAAATTTGTCTTACAAGGGATCGGCAAATAGTTGCAACCTGCTTTCTTAACGAAACATGTATCATTTGAAAGAGCATTAAAAATGTGCACAGCGCAAAAAAAATTAGCTGCCTAAATTACCTTAGGGCATATATACGACCGCTTTTTGAAAGGGGTTATATGCGGCCAAAACGCCGGTTCCTTATATTACAGTAATCCTGGCGGTTTGAAATCGTCTTTATTAATTTCCTGGTATCCAAAAACGTCTATTACGGTCGTTTTATGGCTTTACCAATCCTCGGTTATATGTTATTAGACATTACTACTAGATACAGTAAATTGTAAATAAAACTAGGTTAAAGGGAAAATTGGAGCAAAAAGCTTTGGAAATACATTTATACGATCGTCGGGGTCATTCACAAACGAAAATTTCAAAATTGAAAATTTCTTATGTCCTACCCTTACCAATGGTTGGTCCACTGTGTCAGCAATAGTGTCTTTGGCCGATTTTACAATTTTATCTTCGTATTTTTTCGAAAAAAAGTATATTTATAGGCCTTAGTAAATTTAATTATCCTCCAGTAATCATAATCGGTCAGGTTACTGGCACAACACCCTTGTAATTATACGATAGTGACATACCCACTCTCACCACCATCAAATTGGTAGTCGTTTCAAAAAAAGTCGAAAACTCAGAAAAATTGCGTAGCCATGGATTCTGTCTGCGAAGTAACAAAAATTATTAAAAAATGTCAACATACCATGGTTTTGTAGCATATACGAGACGAAATGCAAAAAATTTACAGAACCTGGTTTCGAAACCACGACTTGTTGCGCCGGAAGTGGGGTCACTACCACTCGGCCAACTCGACACAACTCTGTTGCCATTCCGAGAGCTTATAAAGCGAGGCGGAAATTAGGCTAAAATCTGTATTTTGGCCATAACTTTGTCCAAAGTGAATTTAGGCAGCTAATTCTTTTTGCGCTGTGAACTATTTTTAATGCTCTTTCAAATGATATAGGTTTCGTTAAGAAAGCAGGTTACAACTATTTGCCGATCCCTTGTTAAACCGCCGGAAAATGAAGCTCAGAAGCCAAAAATTTATTTTTGTTATGGCTGACGAAATTTTTTGGAGATTTTTTTTTTGAAAAATCCTCGAAAAAAGTTGCGCGATGATCCGGAAATTACCCCGAAAATTGGCTTTTGTTGAATTTTACCTCCCATGTTTTGTTTGTTTATGTGGAAAAAGTCATCGGTTGTTTAGAGTTTGACCCAAAATTTGGCGAAATTTTTGAGCGAAAATTCCCGGAAAACTTTGATTTGTTGAGGTCACATTTTGGGCGATTTTTTGCGATAGAATTTCAGGGAATGATGGAAATTGTAAACTGAGGCCAATTTGAAATGATCTGGGATTCATTTTTTATTCTTGTTATTTTGTTTCTCCCCCCAGCGAACATTTAATTCGCCCTTTATTTGTTTGCATTTGCCTTGATCCGAGGTTTATTTACCTTGGGCTTATAAGAAAGGTTCATAAAATGGACCAGCGCGAGATTAGTAGCTGGGAAATTTGATTTTTTTTCGCCTTGGTTTAGAGATTTGGCAGCGGATTTGAGAGGATTTGAGCTCTTCTTTAGGGATTTTTTAGAGTTAATTTGAAAGTTTTTGGACTTACAATAGTGTTTATCCCCCATTTTTCTTCAGTTTTTTCTCTATTTTTGGGCTGGCATTGAAACCGGCTACTTTGACCTATTAGCATTTTCACAAAGTGCCTGGATATTTGTCGCGAATCGCACTGTGCACAAAGGCCTCCGATTTTTCGCACCGTGCATTGACCTTTTTTTGGTTTTGCACTGTGCATTTGAAATATCGCTGCGACGTAAGCTTTTCTCAACTGCGCTTCCGCGAGAATGTGCACAGTGCAATCGGCTTTTCTGAGGTTTGCACGGTGCGAAAACGGGAAATTTCACAGTGCGTTGGCGACAAAGGTTCAACATGCACTGTGCGAAAGCGAAATGATGTCCAGGCACTTTGTGAAAATGCTAATAGACTTGGCTGCCGGGCTGGGCCGGCCCGGGCCGGCCCGGGCCGGTGTTCGGGCCGGGCCGGGCCAAAGCAAAATTGAAACGGGCCGGGCCGGGCCGCAACTTTCGGCCCGGGCCGGCCCGGCAAAATTGAAATTCTGAATTTCAAAGCGAAAAGTTGGGTTGCCAATAAAATTAAAACGCAATGCTAGGAATGGGGTTTATATTTTTCTCACAGTAAGCGAAGTTTTATAAAAATAAAGCAAAGAAGTACTCAAAAATAGCTAATAATAAGTAATTTTACTAGTAAAATCTATTAAGTACTAATGTATATTAGTGTTTGTAGTAATTGTTTGAACAAACATTCAAAATAAACGTAACCGACATCCTTAAAAACACAATTAAGAAGTCGTGTGAAGCAACACTATCATCTTGAAGTTGAAAACCTTGATAAACGTGGTTCCACCTTTGCTGAATCTATAAAATTGATCTTGGGGCAATTTTTAATAGTCTGAAAACGGATCTCGGGAATTTTTTGAATAATTTTAAAAAGGCAATGCGTTGATAAGTAATTTTTTGCTTTAAAAATGTGCTGTTAGTTGTTATACAGGGTGTTTCAAGAAATTTGGCAGAAACTAATTGCGAATATCTTTGAGCTCTTGCTAGTTGTCGCAGAAATTCTTTTTGTTTCTTAAACTTGATAACGGGCGGTTTTGTACTGAACAAAAAAAATTTTTTTTCCGTCGGCGGAGAGGCCAGTTCTCGGCGGAGACATTTGGGGCCTTTTTTAAAAATCACACCTTATTACACGGTGGAAACTCTGTTACAATGGCCAAAATCATGTTTGCGTTAAACCTCCGTGGATTTTACGGTATGCTTTTTTTTGTTTTCGATTTTCGCTCATCCGCGGAGGCACGGCGGAGACCTCAGGTTTCGGCGGACGTCGTTTTGACTCTTTGGATCATTCAATTCAGGTTGGAAAAAAGTGTGGGGTGATTTTTTGTTGTCATCCGATGCACAGATGCAAAAATTTCGCACTTTTTTCCCCGGCGGAGGATTCGGCGGAGGCTTTATCAAAGGGTCAGAACAGTCTTAGGAGTCCGGGAAAAAACTCAGCTACAAGAATCCATCACAACAACATCATTTTTCTTATTTTTTGGTTCGGCGGACACATCGGCGGAGGATTCGGCGGAGGCTTTATCAAAAGAGTCAAAGTTTTGTTTTGACCCTTTGATAAAGCCTCCGCCGAATCCTCCGCCGGGGGAAAAAAGTACAAAATTTTTGCCATCTGTGCATCGGATGACAACAAAAAATCGCCCCAACCTTTTTTCCAACATGGATTTGCAAAAACCGAGGGCCCAAAACAAAGTCCGCCGAAATCTGAGGTCTCCGCCGCGCCTCCGCGGATGTTGCGTAAAATCGAAAACGCAAAAAAAGCATACCGTAAAATCCACGGAGGTTTAACGTAAACATAATTTTGGCCATTGTAACAGAGTTTCCACCATACAATAAGGTGTGATTTTTAAAAAAGGCCCCAAATGTCTCCGCCGAGAACTGGCCTCTCCGCCGACAAAAAAAATTTTTTTTTGCTCAGTACAAAACCGCCCGATATCAAGTTTTAGAATCAAAAAGAATTTCTGCGATAACTCCCAAGAGCTCAAAGATATTCGCAATTAGTTTCTGCCAAATTTCTTGAAACACCCTGTAGTAAAGAAAAATAGGTCACATCTAATAGCGAATTTAGGTTTTTTACTTCTTCTCAATTTTCGGGCCGGCCCGGGCCGGGCCGCGGGCTGGGCCGGGCCGGGCCGAAGAAAAATTGAAACGGGCCGGGCCGGGCCGACCTCTTCCGGCCCACGGGCCGGGCCGCGATTTTCGGCCCGGGCCGGCCCGAGAGCCAAGTCTACTTTGACCTCCTCCAAAACGGATTCTTTGTCGGGAGTCTTTTGTGGAAATAAATTTTTAAGTCCGTCCTCGCCTCTTTCTTTTTTTTTGCAAAACACTTTGGTTTATTGAGTGAAAATGGCGGTTTAGAGACGGGTTTGGCAACGGAAAAGGCACTGGGAAAGTTTGCATTCGGCTTCTGGGACTAAATGGAGAACAAATTTGGGGATCTTTTTGTGGAAAATTTGAGATTTTTATGGGGAAAAAGTTGGAAATTTGCAAGATTTTTGATTGAAACATCGAGAATTTTGCCAAGAAAAAGTAATTTTTGTAGATTTTTTGGCAAAAATTTTCGATTTGCCCTCCAAAAATCTTGATCAAACCCCTTTTGGTGCGCCTCCTTTATTTCCAGTTGCACCTGACCTTTCCCTTTTTTACCTACGCTACCATTTTCGGTATGATTTATGCGGAACAAAAATCAAATTTGCATTAAAGGCCCTAGTGTTTGCCCAGAACAATAAACTGAATCGATCCCATAGAATCCTTTGCGCCATAAATTTTTGTTAGCACTCTTCTTGAGCCCTCAACCAGCCAAAAATTATTTACAGTAAAATTGTTTTGTTGCAAAAGTCTTGAACGTTTGAGAAAAAGTTTTTGCTAGCCCTTCGCCAGACGTTGTAAAGAGTTTTTCCCGTCTCTGGACCCTCCAAGGATGGTGTGCTGCCTCCCGGAAAATTCTCGTTCTCTGGTAATCCCTTTGTGCGGACGCCCAAATTTGGTAATCCGCCCCTCAAAATGTTGTCCATCCCGGCGCGGCACAAGGTTTGGAGCGTCTTTATTGCGCCGGAAATGTTCGACAAAACGCAATTATGTTTGGTTCCCGGCAATGTTATAGTAGGTTGCTTAATTAGACCGCGAAGTGACCAACTGGTGTCGGCCAGGACCAGGGTTTAAATGGTTTATGCTTCGAGGATGCTGCTTTAAGAGGCTTAAATGCGATGGGTTGGGGAAAGGCTGTTGTTTTAACTAATGAGCTTTGATTTTTTGCTGGAATTAGGATGATTTTTGATTATTTACTTTTTGTGATGACACAAAAAGTAAATTTTTGGATTGATCCTAGTAAATATAGCAAGAATAATTCTGCATAGGCCCCATTGACTCAATAACCGCCTACGTCTCCCAGAATTCCACTTTTTGCCCTTTCAAATTGCCTGTTTTTACAAGTTTCGGCCATTTCCGGTGGTCAAAGGAAGGGATTTGCCGATTTTCACAGCTTTCTTTCTTCTGTGTTGCCGAAGGTTTTTGTGTTTGTAGATGCGGAACGACCTCTCTGAGTGACCAGATTAGCCGACGTTTTCAAGTTTAGTGGGTTGAACGACCGGAAAATTACATTTTATGACAAGAAATGGAAAATAATCTAATTTTTGAAATTTTTTTGTGAATTTTAGTCCTGTTTTTTGTTTTTGGTGAGGTTGATGTGTTCCATAATCTGAGATCGTTGGCCTTGGTCGCTCGTATCGAAAATTTCGAAAACCTTCGGCAACAAAGAAGAAGGCTGTGAAAGTCGGCAAATTCTTTCCTTTGACCACCGGAAATGACCGAAACTTGTAAAAACAAGCAGTTTGAAATGGGAAAAAAGTGGAATTCTGGGAGATGCAGGTGGTCAGCGGGTCATTGAAGCTGTCTGAGGAAAAGTTTGTGGCTCTCTTTTTTGTGAGGGCAATGTCTTCAAAACGAAGTTTTTTCATTTGGAGAGGGAGGCACTTTGCCACATTTTTGATCCTTCCCGGATGCAAAATGGTATGTTTTTTGCCACTGGATCAGGTCCCCACTGTACAAAGGTTTCATTGCGTTGTACATGAAAGGCCGACCTCCTCGCACTCGCTTGACCCAGGCCCCCATTCAAAGGGTCGAGTGATGGGTGCGGCATGTCATCGCCCCCCTCTCTCCTTTCCTTTGTCACCACTCTCGGCACCTTTTTCCCAACTCCCGCAGCGCCCCCAGTTCACTGGGTTAGGGGGCGAGTGCGAAACGGAAGTGCGTTCAGAAACCCACAGCGCTCACCACAACCCGGGTTTTTGTTTAAAGTGGCATTTGGCTGCGTAAAGTGGCAGCTCTGGCTACATTTTTACGAAGAGTCGACTGAGATGGGTCTGATAGATTGGTGATGAGGGATGGGAAATTGTTTTTGACACCTTTTTGGCAGGAAATTTGCATTTTTTGGCGGAACTGCGGAGTTTTTGGGAAATTTTTGGTATTTTGAGGGGCTTTTATTGCCTTTTATGGCATTTGATGGTTATAAAATTAATCAAAAAGTATGCGACAAAGGTTTTTCCATAATTTCACCCCTCACTACCCTCGTTTTCTCCTTTGACTTTGGGCTCTGAAGCCGGGAAAAGTTTCGAATTTATGACACTGACCCTTCCTTTCTCTCCTCTCATCGCTGACCATTCGAAAGCCAGCGCTTGAGAGCAGGGATCGGATTACTTTCTCTTTTTTTCAGCTGGGAAATGGGAAAACTGACAGTTTGCGCTAATTAGTAAAACAAGTCTTGAGGAGAATCGAAGCCTCAGAAAGCCGTAAAACCCCTCCGTCTCAGGTTGGTTGAGAACCATATCTCGGGTTCGCGGAGCTGCTCTTGTCTCCGGCGAGCAGCAAGGACAAGGTAATTAAAATTGGGCCGACCTTTTAATACTCTTTTTCTTTGTGGACATTACACTAGAAAGGCGAAGATTAGGGTGGTTTCGCGAAATTAGAAGGGTTTCGTTTGGCTTTTGGCCGTTTATTAGTGTCGGCTCAGCGGATTCGAGGAAGGACAGGAAAGGATATTCAGTGGGTTGGAGGCAAATTTGTGTTATTTTAGGCATCAGTTCGAACCCGTTGGGAGATTTGGCATTTTTGGCTATTTTTGAGTGTGTTTCTCGGTTGTGTTGCGCATATTATGGCATCTAATATCCTGTGTTGGTCACATGATATTAGAATTTACCGAGAATTGGACCGTTCGGAACTAAAATTATATTAATTTAGTCATCAGGTGGGCTCTTTTCAAAAAAATTTTTTTTGAAATGTTACTACTCCCGAATCCGGTTATAATTCAAAATGAAACCCCCAAAACGCTTGGCTCTCTGACATTCGGTTTGAAACAAAAAATGGTCCTTCAATAAAGAGAAATTTCCATCCCGAAATTCCTGACCGCTTTTCCATCTCATTTCCTGAAGGCTTGAAAGGGTCAGTCAGCGGAACAAAGCGAGCCTTTTTGGAATAATATTTATGGCAAAGATTATTCTCGATATTTATGGATCATCCGTCACGTCCACTTTACTGGTTTTTATTCGAAAATGCCCAAGAATTATTGGAATTCAGAATAAGATTTGAGATTTTTGTCTTTTTTTTCCACAAAAAAATTACTCCCCTCTCGCTAAATGACCACCCGATGTAAATTTGACGCCGGATTCGGCCTTCTTCCGCCCCTTCTTTCCTCGCGTCTCCAGCGGAATTAAGCTGTGCGCAAGTTTTGGGAAAACAGTAATTGGATTTGTTTTGCGAGAAAAGTTGAGGCGAGATTTTGCCTCCCAACGTCTATTAGATGCAATTTATGGGCTTTGAAGCGCTTGTACGACGAGTTAGAGGAATGTTTTTGGGTGATAAAGTAGAGTAAAGTCGATTTGAATCGAGCTTTGGTATCTGATTATATTGTACATGCTATAATTGGTAGAAAGGCAAGATAACAAAGAAGTTTTTGTTATCTTGCGATTGCTTCTGACTGTACAAGGTCTAGGTTGCGCAATAGAGCGGGCAAACGACATGCCGCAGATGGGAAACGCGTCCGCTCGCAACTGGTATCTTTACCTTGTGTGATGTCGCTAAAGGTAAAAAGACGAGAAGTTTTGAGGGCATAGAGGATATGAGGGATTTAGATAAGATTTTTAGACGATATATAGGAGTTTGGTTTCATTGGAAAATAATTGAGACTCATTTTTAGACACATTTTATATTGTAGTAGGTATCAACTTTTAGAAAATTTTTGATTTTTTAATACTGAGATATCAATGGTTTTTGTAGTTTATGCAAATTTTAGGGCCCATTGTTTCTTTTAGTCTAGACTGCCGCTGCTTTTGAACCTCCCATCCAAAACAATAGTATCAAAACTCCAGTCACCGGATGAGTAATTGGAGGGAAAATTTTGATCGGACCCGAAGATAAGATGGCAAGTGAGCGCGTCACTCCACCGAAGGTCGAGTGAGGAAAAGGGAACCGGGCTTTATGGATACCTGCGTTTCATTTTCAAAGCCGCGCCGGTGTTTACACTCGATGCCAATTCGGAGTCTTTAATGAGCCGTTTTTTCGCTGGAAAAGCATCTTGGAATGTTGAATCAGCCTTCTGAATTGATTGTAATGGGTTTCTTGAGTGTTTTGGAGGTCGATTGGGGTTGGGTTTATATTGTAGTAGGTGGAAGTTGACAAAAATAATATTTTTTTCAATTAGAATATTGGATTTTATTATGATTTTATTTATTATTTTTCTTGTGAGAAAATTATGACAAATGCCTTTGTTTTTATTCTTTGCCAAGTGCATGGCCGAATATAGAAAATAACAAGGATTTTGGTCTCTTTTCTTCCGACCTTAGAATAGGACGAAAATATAAACAACCTCCGTTTCGTCTTGCTCCCTTTACCACATTTTGTATTCTAAAATATCGGAAATGAAGTGTTCAAAAGGATTTTTTTTCGATTTTCGATACTAAAGTGGTTTTTATAAGCGAATTTTGAGGGTTTTTTTATATTGTTCTAGATAGTATAGATTTTGTTAGAGGGAAATAAAATTAGATAGGGAAGTAGAGAGCTTGCATCCGACGTTACTTTTGCGGCCTCCGAAAGTAGTGTTAAAACAATTTATCGAGCCTGAGGAGTCAAGTGTCCGGCCTCATGCAAGCTTAAGAAGCGCAATGCTTTGAAAAACGCGAGAACAAATTTTGAAAACAAGTCGGATTTACACTACTTTTGAATAAAAAGAAGCGTAAATTTGACTATTTTTGAAAGTGTTCTACGAACCAAAAACGTCTGTAAAACGGTTTCTAATCAAAAAATTGCAAATGCTCCCTTTAAAGTTACGGAAAGATCCATGTGGAAAAAAGCGTCCAAATGCATCCTGGAGGCAGGAAATTGCATTCTTTTGCATCCCATCTCTGAGTAAAAAGAGAGGGATGCAAATGAATGCAATTTACTGCCTCCAGGATGCATTTGGATGAGTTTTTGCCTCATGATCTTATCCGTGACTTTAATAAAGGGAACCTATGCAATTTTTTGATTAGAAATTGTTTTACAGACGTTTTTGGTTGGAGGAAAATATTGGAAATCGTATTGGTTTCCGCACTGTGCACTCTCTTCCCAAATTACCCCCGTCAGTGTCGTCAAGGTTACATAACCGTCAAATTCAGCTCGCACGCGATCTCCCTCATTATTCTACTCGAATATATCCAACCTAATATGGCTCTTCAAGCGTATATCTGAATTGAATAATAATTTTTTTGGGATTTTTGTGGAGAATTGGGCGGGTTTTGTCGTTAGCAATAGAGAAATCTTTATATTTTCGGCGGGTTTTCTAAATTTTTTGAAGGATTATGTGAGGTAATGTGGTTTGAATGTCCGATAAAGGGATTTGACAAAATTTCGGGCTATTTTGTTAATGAAAATTAGAGGAAAAATTTTTCAAAAAATCCTCGGCTTTGAGGGCTTTTTTGGGTCCTCAAATAACAAGTGCAATGTCCATTCGAAGCCACTTGACAAGTGGCTAATAATGGCGTTAATGGGCCCCTCTTTTGTTTGAAAAGGCATTGGGATGCCAATTTGGGGGATAGAATGGAATTTCGAAAGGATTTTTCTTTGCTTTGTCATGGGTAATATAGAAAAAATTTGAATTTTGAGATTTTTGTCGGTATTTTTACTTGCTGTTATGGTGGTTGATATTAGAAAGGAGTTGCCGGAATTTTCATTGTAGTTTTCACAATTTTTTAAGCATTTTTTCAAGTGTGATATCGAGGAATTTTTTAAATTTTGCTTTTTTTAAAATGTTTGGTCGATTTCATTAAAATATTTCATTTTCAGCAAAGAGGACGCTGGAAATTACACTTGCCAAGTGGAATCAGCCTACGGATACAATTCGTGGAGCGGTTATCTTCAAGTTGAAGGTACGGTTATCAAATATAAAAAAAAAATTTCAGTTTTGGGTGTTTTTCTGTCACTTTCTTAATTGATTTGTATAGTACAAATATAGAACCAACGTACTAAAGCAGTGCAAATAGTATTAAACACTTTTTTTGTTGTACTTTACCCCACTTTTCGGCCGCTTTTCCCCCTTTGATTAATGGGTTTATTGAGCCCTCGGGGCGTTTGGTAAAACTTTTGCTAGCTCTTGGAGAAGCTGCAGATTAATCTGTTTTGCGATTAGGGCCATATCGAATATCAAACGGAGTGATTGATGGAGGTTTTCAAATTTGTTTTTTTTTCGATTTGATTGCTCTGGATTTTGGGAAATTTTTTGAAATCTTTGATAATTGGAGTAAAACTAAAGGTTAATATTTAATTTTCAGAACACACAAACCCATCCGCCGTCTTCGAAAGAATGCCCGACCGATCCCAACTCCCGGCCGCTCCCTCCCAGCCCAGAGTCAACGTTCGTCGGCCGAACCAAATTGACATCGAATGGGACCCACCCACAAATCATGGCGCCTCTCCAGTAACACATTACACTCTCCAATATTGGAATCCAACACCAGGATCGAAAACTGTAAGTAGTTTTTAATTTTTTGTTGATTTTATTGAAATTGAAGGCTAGTGCAATATAATTTTTGTTCGGAAAGTGGACGAAAATTTAATTGTGGGTGTTTACGGAAATTTATTGTCGTATTTTACGCTTTATTTTTTTTAATTTCATGAAAAAAATGTTTTTTTTTTGATCAAAGGTGTCTAGTGTAATATAAAATTTTAATTTTTTTTGCCAAAACATGTTATTGATTATTCGAGTTTGCGTATTTTACAAATCGATTTAGAGTTTTGCTGCTTAAAATATATTTTATTTTTAATTTTTTAATTTATGATTTTTTTGATATTGATTTACAAAATTTCAGACCTGGACCACCGTTAATGACCGAATTAACGGCCTGAAGTACAGGTTGGTCGGTGTGCAGCCAGGACAGCAATACTTCTTCATCGTCCGCGCCAACAACGCCCTTGGAATGGGCGAGCCGTCGCCCATGAGTCAAATGGCCCTTACTTATGCCGGTGAGTAATCGGGATTTTTACAGGGTTTTTTGTGGAGTGTGGGGATTATTTTTTGATGGTTTTTGGAAGAAAAATCTGAGTTTTTTGATTTTTTGAAAATCATTTTTTTTTTGGTGGCATTACTTTAGGTGATATTTATTTTTTTATTTCACTAAATTTTCCTCTTAAAAATTATTTTTTAATGATTTTATGGGAAAAATTTTGAGTTTTGGAGTTTTTTGAAATTGATTTTTGGGTGACATTACTTTAGGTGATACTTTTTTTTTTTTTTTTTTAATATTTTCCTCAATTTCAGATCAAGAACCGAAGGAATCGAGCACTCCGGAGACCACCGTCACCCTCCAAAAGCCAGTCCGCCTCACCCACGCCAAGACGATCAATTCGAGCACCGCCTTGCTCACCTGGACCAACGGCGAAGGCCTCAACAACGACGGCTTCTACCTGACGTGGCGCGGCCCACCGCTCGCCAACGGCGAGACCATCATGAATATCACGGAGCCGAAGGTGTCGTCGGTCCTCGTGAACGGCCTGAAGCCCTATTCCACGTACGATTTCTTCCTGATCCCCTACAAGAACTCGATGAACCTCTCGCCCTCGAATTCCATCGAACTCCGAACCCCCGAAGGCATCCCCGACCCACCCAGAAATGTATTCGCACGAATGGAAAACCTGACTAGTGTGTTGATCTCGTTCGGCCCACCAGCCGAGATCCGCGGCATTCTGAAGGGATTCGACATCCAATTCCGCGACAACTCCTCGGAAAATGTGAATACCATCCGAACCAGGGCCAATGCCCGCTCAGTAACGCTCAGAAATCTGGCCCCGAACAGAAGCTATCAAGCCCATGTGGCCGCTTTGAACGGGGAAGGACGCAGCGAATATGTGAGCACCGAGTTGTTCACCATGAGTAAGTGATATTATCCATGAGATTTTGGATGTTTTTGTGGGTTTTTGGGGCTTTTATGGGAGGAAATGTGGTTTTTCTGTAGATTTGAGGCATTTGATGAGTGTTGACAATAATTTCTGACCTTATTTTAGACGAAGCGACCCTCCAAAGACACCATCAACTCTATGGAAGACATGAAACCGCTGTGTCGCCGTGGAAAATCGGCGCCGGAGCCGGCTTCCTCGCCCTGTTCCTGGCGCTCGGCGCGATCCTCGCCTTCTGCTGGTGCCGCTACGGCGGCGGCAAGAAGCGCAAGAACTCGCTCCGCCATCGCCCCCCATCCACCGACTTCATCAAGATCAACGACGGCTCCGTGGCGACGGGCCGCGAGGAGTACTGGCCCGAGTCCGCCATGCCCTTCCACATCCCCCCACCGCCACCACCGCCCAACGGCCTGGCCCACCAATGCAGCGGAATGACCGTCCACAGCCACATGGCCAACATGAACGGCCAGATGAACATGTCGTCGCCGCGCTCCGCCCACTACTTCCACCACCATCCCTGCTGCGCCCCCATGATGAACGCGTACGGAACGACGGTCCGGCCCCACTATGCCGGCCCCTATTGTGCGGGATCGTCGACTTTGGGAAGGGAAGAGGGCCAATATCATTATGCTGTACTCCCTCCCACCAGCACTCTCCCACACCACGCCATAATGCATTATGAAGATGACCCAAGCCCTTATGCTTCGACTACGGTGACTAGCAGCGGCTATGGCCCCCCAGTCCCATCGAATCCGCCCCCAATGTTCATCCCCCAACAGCTGCAGCAGAACTTCCCACCGAACGGATCGATCCGAAGAACCGCGACGCAACCAGCGCAAAGCAACAATAGCTCGGCGAATTTGCAAGGACGAAGAACACCGAGGACCAATCCTCACTTTTTCAATGACGTCCCGGCCCCAGCCCCCCAACAGGACATGGAATTGGGCCGCATCTTGGCACAGGTCCCTCCACCCCCCACCCAGACTTATGACTCGGTCACGGAGGACTTTATGAACGTCCCGAAGGAGGAAGGAAACAAAGACTTGCCGAACAGGACAACCAATTCGAGAAGCCCGCCGAGATCGAGGAATGGTAAGGATTTTTGGAGACTTTTGGGGACTTTGATATTGCACTAGGTAGATAAGAGTGAGTATGTTTTTTCTAGTTGAAATTTCGATAATTTTGAAGTCAATGGTTTTGAAAATGGATTTAATTTGTATAAATTGGGTTTTAAAAAATAAAAAAATTAATTCTATACGGTGGATACTTTTTGAGGTTTTTTGAAGCATTTTTTTTATTTTTGAGTCATTCGTTCTAAGGGTTTAATTTGTATTAATTGGGTCTTAAGAAATAAAAAAAAATTCTGTATAACGCGGTGGATACTTTTTGAGGTTTTTTGAAGCATTTTTTTATTTTTGAGTCATGCGTTCTAACTAGGGAAGTGTACAAACGAACCCTCACCAAATGGCAAGTGTTATACACCATTAGAAAGCCCTTGAAAAATGGTGAAAGGTACCATTTTCATTTTTTGCAGAATGCCTCAGGGCAAAAAATTATAAACGGTTGATTTTTCCCCTAAGTAGCTACAATATCTGCTGTGGGGCAAAATAAATCTTATTTCAAAACGCTAGATGGTACATATTGCTATTAGCTTGGCCTAAGAATCATTATGAAGTTTGGCGCTTGCCAGTAAAACCATTTTACATATGATATTTACTGGTTTTAAATACCCATAACGTGAAAAAACACTTTTCACTTTTTTTAATCTTGAAAAACTTGTAAGTTTGATGATTTTAACCGTAATCGACCGGTTTCTAGAAAAATTAATGCGTTTGTAAAAGTTTAACTCAAATATTTTCCTAACTGTAAGAACGCAAAATGTTTTTGCCCAAGCTGGGAATCGAACCTAGCTTGGTTTGGCTTGTCAGCCTGCTCAGCAACCACTGCACTATTCAAGCAACTCTGTTCGAGGATTTTTATCCGCTCAAGAGAAGGAAAGATTTTTGTTGCGAAATGACCTAAAAATAATATAATTTACAGTGTGTCGTCGCGGAAAGGCATTCTGCAAAAAATGAAAATGGTACCTTTCACCATTTTTCAAGTGCTTTCAAATGGTGTATATCACTTGCCATTTGGTGAGGGTTCGTTTGTACACTTCCCTAGTAAGGGTTTAATTTGTATAAATTGGGTTTTAAGAAATAAAAAAAAATTCTGTATAACGCGGTGGATACTTTTTGAGGTTTTTTGAAGCATTTTTTTTTATTTTTGAGTCATTTTTTCTAATTTTTTGCGCATTTTCAGGGACAGCCGACCACGAGGAGCGATTCCTTCTGAAGTGATCCCACCCCGCCTTTCAGGCCACCCCTTACCCCGCCCAACGGTCTCGCAACTTCCGGGGAAGTCCGCACAGAACTGGTAGTAGAATATAGTTTCTCTCTCAACTCGGGTATTCACAGTTTGTTTGTTTGTCTGTCTATTAAGGAAGGTTTTGATCAGTTTTTCATTTCTTTTTATCCATTGACCTCTCGTTTGGTGAGCTTTATATTCATCTAGATAACATTGTCTAACAATATCTCCTATTAAGATTTCAAAGTGTTTTCGGTGTGTACAGTCGGATTTGTAAATATATTTTATAAATAACTGTTAATAAATTTGATAACGTATGAACTGATTTGACTTGGCTGAATGATGAGTTTAAAATACGAAATTGAATTGTAAATTGGAAGCTAATAGAGATTTTGACGTATAAGGGAAGTGCCTCAAGCGCAACGCTCTGATTTTCTTAAAATTTTACACACATGTCGGAAAAAGGGCCACGTATTAATTCCTGAAAATTTTAGCTCCTGCTTTCCAGTCGCCGTCGGGATATTGAACGATGTTTGTGGCCGAGAGAGTACGCGAAATGCGGAGAGCGGTCAGAAAAAACACTTTTGGCTGTATCTTTGTCAGTTGTGTACGGAAAAAATTAGTTTTTTGTGGAAACATTGTTTTCTACTATAGAATTCGCTGGGACACTTTTAGTACCGAAATTTGCAAAAAAGCTGTTATTTTTTGCTGGCCTTCGACCTAAAAATCCTGGTCATTTCTGCAAAACGCGAGCTAGAAGTCTCACATATCAAATTATTCAAAAAAAAAATTAATAAATAAAGGGAAATAAATTTGCGCCAATTTTAATGAAAATCCGAGCGTCACACCCCTCGCTAGGCTAAAGTAAGCTTCTATACAGCGTAACCCTTCTATAACGACTTCATTTTCTGATTCTGTATTGTTATACAGGCTGTTTAACGACTCCAGGTTTCATCAAAATCTGAGCCGCACTACCTCAGATATTCTCCATGTCCTTGTTGCTTCATTGCTTCTATACTCCGCCGATTTAATTTGGACCAGTCTGAAACTTGAAAACGGTTATAGATATGAACTCCATTCCTTCAACAAGTTTGATTACCAGTCGACTCTATGTTCAACTGTAGCAAAATATTTCCTCTGCCTTGAGGCACAAGAAAAATATTCCGATTTTTTAATTTTGGCCGTCGAAAAAGTTTGGACCAGGGCTACAAAAATTTGCATTTCTTTAAAACTACTTGGGGTGAAACCATTATAACTTGTGAAAACAATTGTTATTCCCTGCTGGTTCTAACGAGCAGGGAATTCCGAGATCAGCGCTGTGTTAAAGGCCCTGAGGGCAGTTTTTAACAAAATTTCCAAAATTCCAGAAATTTTTCGCCCTAGCGCTTGAGTAAGAAGCGTAAATCGTCTTAAATTAGTTTCAATGCAACCACAGTATAGTGTACATCTAATTGGATGACGTTATAAAACAGTTTTACATCCAAAATTTTTTGTTCTTGGAGGATTTGCAACTTTGAAACTTGGGTTGGCGATAATAGTGAGGCCACTGCGCTCAAACAACTGCTAAATCATACAGCGTTTTGCGTGGGACGTTTGAGGGGCATCCCACACTTTCCTTCTGTGTCAAAACAATATCCGATTTACACGCGACAAATGCACAATAGACCGAACACTTTGATAAAAAAATTTAAGAAGAGGGTGCTTACTTAAAAGTTTTCGAAAGTGAAAAAAGATGTTCCTATATGTATATTATACGTTTATTCCGCTATGAGGTGCTTGCCAGACCTGATAGAACTCAATTTGATGCACATTAAATTGTTTTTTCTCAACATGTTTCGACTGGGCCAACGAAAACTTTTTTTATCAAAGTGTTCGGTCTATTGTGCATTTGTCGCGTGTAAATTGGATATTGTTTTGACACAGAAGGAAAGTGTGGCATGCCCCTCATATGTCCCAAGCAAAACGCTGTATGATTTAGCAGTTGTTTGAGCGCAGTGGCCTCACTATTATCGCCAACCCAAGTTTCAAAGTCGCAAATCCTCCAAGAACAAAAAATTTTAGATGTAAAACTATTTTATAACGTCATCCAATTAGATGTACACTATACTGTGGTTGCAAAGAAACTAATTTAAGACGATTTACGCTTCTTACTCAAGCGCTAGGGCGAAAAATTTCTGGAATTTTGGGAATTTTCTTAAAAATTGCCCTCAGGGCCTTAAACACAGCGCTAATCTCGGAATTCCCTGCTCGCTAGAACCAGCAGGGAATCACAATTATTTTCACAAGTTATCATGGTTTCACCCCACCTAGTGATAAAGAAATGCAAATTTTTGTTGCCCTGGTCCAAACTTTTTCGACAGAAAAAATTAAAAAATCCGAATATTTTTCTTGTGTCTCAAGGCAGAGGAAATATTTGGCTACAGTTGAACATAGAGTCGACTGGTGATCAAACTTGTTGAAGGAATGCAGTTCATATCTATAACCGTTTTCAAGTTTCAGACTGGTCCAAATTAAATCGGCGGAGTATACAACCGCGTATTTCCTCATCTTCATCCATTTATCCTACGCTTTTTCTAAATCGCAAAGTTTTCCCATCAAAATCGAATTTCACACCTCCCTCCCTCCATTCCTCGCCTCCCCTGCGGATAATCCCCGGCTCAATTGGGTTATGCGAGTTTATGAGTGAGCGAGGTTGTAAATGTACACAATCTACCGCAGCTCCCGTTGAGTGATGAGACACTTATCGCGGTCTCCAAGAATGGACTCGTCTCGATTCGAATCTATCACGATATTGCTTATGATGTTGTTGCTGTGTGAAGGCCTAGCCCAGACCAAACCGGTGGTTTTGATGAAGGTTTCCGGCGATCTTTGCGCCGATTGTCTGACCTTCTTCGAGAGCCTGAAACCGACCGTGGATGTGCTGTATCGGATGGCGGGCAGTCCGGCGTTCGAGTTCGGTGTTCAAAGGGCCATCAAGGTGAGGGTTGCAAATGTTGCGAAGATTTGTTCTTTCGCGCATTTTGACATGTAAAGTTTTATACATGTTTCTACCGTCGAATGTGATGTTTTAACGGCGAACGAACTCTGCGAAAACGAAAGTTCACTTTGCACTGTGCAATTTTTGGCTTTTTCCACCGTGCAATAAGCTTTTCGGGGCTATCGCTCGCACCCTGACTTTTTTCTCACAGTCCGTGTCGCCGATTTCAGTCCGGCGGCTTTCCGAACGGACTTGCATCACGTTCTATCCCTCGTCTCGGCTGTCGTCACAGAAGAAGTGTGTTGCACGTCAATCCAAAATAGAAGAAAAAATTTCCCGCCCCTTTTTGGTGATTCGTCAAAACGAAATGTCACTATCCGATAAAACGCATTTTCTTATCTTTCTTCTTCCTTTTCGAGAAAAAGCAATTATTTCGGGCGAGAAAAAGTGCCGATAATTTCGCGACATTTCGTCCCTCTTTTAAAACCAATGAAAACGATACGGTTTCGAAACGGTTCAGGAAATGCGCTGGATTGACGTGTGTTGTGCCATTTTGGCGATGAAATCTTTTCATGCATAACACGTCTGCGCTATGCGAAACAGTTTGACAAAGTTTGATCAAAAAAATCTCGGTGATCTTTGATATCTCGAGCGTCTGAAATAAGTCTTGCGAATTTATTCTCTAAATTTCGGTAAGATAAATTCTTTGCCCATGATGTTTGTAAACTAGTTCTACAATTTTCTTTCGGACTCAATAGGCCAAAATTTTTGGTGCAAATAATTCTTACCACTGTACCGCTCAGAACAAGTTTTATATCAAAAAAATTGAACCTAACAGCAACCGGCTTTATTTGTAGACAATTTTTCCTTTCAGAACAACTGCGACAATGTTTTCCGCAACATTACCGGCTCCAAAAATTTGTGCCGTCTCTTGGACCACGGCACTCTCACGCAGATCGTGGATGTGATCGAAACCGATCGTGGAATTGACCAACATCACAGTTGCAATGTGCTGGCTGTGTGTACAAACTAACTGTAAAATAAATGTTTATATAGAACGTTCGGAATGTTCGTATATTTTGAAACACAATGTTCAGTATGGGCTAATCCGATAGTTGATTTCGCAGAACCCCGTTCCCTTCACGCCGTTCAGACTGAACTCGCACAAAAGCTCCTCGAGGTAATTGTTCAAGTCCAGTCCCATTTTGAAGGCGACTCGCTCTTTCACCACAACGTTCACCTGAAGATAGACAGCGTCAGATTGAAGAGGAAGTAAATTTCTCCGGGGGAAATTTTAAAAGTGCGTTCTTAAAGTCGCTGGAGTGATTTTTGGCACTTGAATTGTGCAGAAAAAGTAAGGGTGCGAGCGACAACCCAAAAAAGCCTATTTCGCGGTGCAAAAAGCAAGAAATTGAGGCTCTATAGATCCAAGAAGAATTCTACTCACCACTTGCAGTTTGTAATGGTCATCGGTTTCAAAAGTGTAATGGAATTCATCGGGGAACTGTTTATTCTCTCCAATGTAAGCCAAATGAAGATTCAGCTTGTTGATCACGGTCTTGGAGCCGTCGCTGAAAGGAGTGGTAGTTGCATGGAAAAAAAAAATACTTTAAAAAAGCGTGTAATTACAGTCAAATCTTTGCAGAGCGAGCGTGTCAGGAACTAAAAAAGAAAGTTCGTTATGGGAGGGTTTTGCTGCATACAACTTCGTTTTGGACTAAAATCGACTTTTGGGACCCCTGGAGTTATTTGTTGCAAACCTACCATGTAAAAAATCGATTTCCCTTCAACCCCGCCGTGGGCAGTTGATACCCTTCCACCTTCCGAGCGACTGTATTGAGTTGCTTATATACGTGTGTCAAGAAAAGTATAGCCATTAAAAACGCTTACGGATGGATCACATAGCCAAACTGAAGATGCGAAAACACTTGCTCGGGCATACTGATACAGCTCGTATTCACGCACGTCCCATCCTCCAGCGCAAACATAATCATCACATATCGGCGAATCTCGCTCCAATTTCGATACGGCGCTACTGTGTGGTCTCGGAGGCCCACCAAACTCAGAACTCTTTCGTCGCCATTTAAGAAGACGGAGCCACGTAGGCTTCCGAACTGCTCGTAATGAATGTTGTGGCGGGATTGAAGGTTCTTAAAGGCGGTCCGGCTCCAAGGCTCAATTGCCAGCGAACGACTGATCAGATCGACGGAGATATCGGTGTCGAAGTCAAAGTGGTCTCCTGCAAATTTTTTCATGTTTTACGTTAGTTTTACAGAGCTAAACCGCCAAAGAACTCTTAATAAAATTGTTTGTTACTCTACCTTTCGCGGTCCAATCCAACTCAAATTTGGTATCAATCGCCTCGTAATCCTGCGGCTTTTTCCCTTCCCCAGGCTTTGTCAAATCCTGTTTAAGGTATTTTGTGTTGACCAAGCTCCCGTTGAACTCGATTCTCCACATTTCCATCGGCCGCAGACAGGATATCTTGAAGCCTGATTCGCTGACGTATTCGTGGTCGTTGGGGATCGTCTAAAATGCAATTAATTTAGCCATGTTAATGAAATCTCAGTACAACAGACACCACTATGAAAATACTACTGTATAATTTGTATATATGTATACGGAATAAAATTTTTAAAAATTGTTATAAAAATTTAGCTTACTTTCAGGTTCGAAGTCGACAGCAAGTCCTCATTGACGAAAGTCCCCTTTCCGGGGATATGAAGCACAAAAAAGATGTTGGCAATGGCTCCCGGCCGTTGCGCAAAGCCCAGCGCCAAATAGCAACCATCTCGACAGGAGCCGTTGAAGAAGACACAATCGCCAGCACGATTTGTGTTTGGCCCTAAGTAATAATAAAATAAAAGTTCTGTACAATAAATTGTCAAATAACAAAAACTGTCTAGAACAAACAATTTCAGGGATCTAAAAAGCCCATTTTTAAGAAAAAGAAGCCTCTATAAGTCTCTCTGCAACCAACAATTTTTTTGTGCCTTGCGATTCGTTGTATGGAGGTTTGATTGTGACCTGTCTATAACAAACTTTTTCACAGGTCACGAGGGTCAAATTTAGGCCAAAATCAACGTCCGCAAATCAAACCATGTCTATAACAAACACTATAACAAACACTTTTTACGCCACAGAAAAAGGTTAGGCAAAATAAAAACCTGTCAAACAAACTTTTTCACAGGCCACGGGAGTCAAGTTTAGGCCAAAATAAAGCTCCGTATCGCAATACCGCTCTATAATGAACCCATTTACAAGCCACAGCAGTCAGTTTTAGGCCAAAACGAACCCGTACAACAAAAACTCTTTATGACAAACAATTTTTTGAAAATTTGCCATTCGTTGTAGAAAGGCCATTTATTGTACAAATGTTTCTCTGTATTATCAATTTTGCACTTCCCCTTACCTTCAGGCAACCTCTGCTTCCTTTCCAGCACATCATTCGGGATCCTCTTCAGCCTATCTTTCTTCGAAATTCGATACAAATCCCCATGATAAACGCCTCCAGCCCTCTTCCTCTGCCAGCGTTGCAATTTGATGAGCCATCGCATAAAATTGAATTTCAGGAAAAAAAGCGACGAGGGCTGACTGTAAACTCCATGGATCCGCGGCGGAAGCTTGTACAGAAACGCGTAGTACAGAATAAAAGCAACTGCAAGCAGAGCAGGGAAGAGTAGTAAGTACAACATGAATATTAGTCAAAAATTTTACGGATATTGCTTCAAATAAAGGTCGAAACTTATCAATTGATCATTCCAATTGTCGAGTGATTTTGGAGCTATTTTCAAGTCTTTGTTTTCCAATCAAAATGCTTTGTAGGGAAGGGAAAAAAGACCTTGTGCAAGATCAATTCTCTCTCGATATTCACTTTTTTATTTTTATTTTTCTGTTCGCTCTTATCAAAAAAGGCCACCTATTATATCTCGGAATTATTTTCAATTTTGATTTGCAAAAGAGTGCTTGGAAAACCGGCATCAACTTTGATCCCAAATACACTCGTGAGTATAAGATGCGAGTAAAAAATAAGATGAAATTTGGCCTGTTGCAGAAGTTTTAAAAATAAGATTTTTTCAATTGTCATCAGGAAGTTTATACTGCGGGGTTCCATACAATATTCATATATTCTAAAAGCCAGCTCTTTACTCTACTGCCGTACCAAATTTCAGCCTTCTAGCGCAAACGACTAACGAGATATTGAGAGATAAAGCAAGAGCATGACGAAAAAAATTGAAAAAGTCGCGGAGATGGGCCGGGCCGACGGAAAATTTGAAACGGGCCGGGCCGGCCGACAAGCCATGTCTAGTGTGGTGTTTGTTGGCCTATGATTGCAGTTTTAATCTAATTCGTCTTCCCAGCTGGTTTTGGGTGCTTGTTTGTTGACGTTGTTTTAGGTTGAATTCTCGGTTAAGGACATTTTAATCGTTTTTGGATGCTTTTTGATAGTGCTTTAGGTCCTACCTAAAATTTCTTTGTTTTACATGAAAAGGGGGCGTTTTCGGAGAATTCGGAATGTCTAGAAAAATTTTCCTGCGATCTGATTTTTGTCTGTTAAGCTATTTCTGGGCATTTCGTAGCTTGGTAATTTTCCGAAAATTTTCTGTGGTAGAACTTTCGAGTAGAATTGCTGTGATTGGCGTTCTCCTCCTTAGGAGGGTATAAATACCCCTCACTCTAATTCAACATTCGATTCAATCACTAAACCATATCCAAGTTGTTCTGTGTTTATTCATTGCCAAATAAATTCTTCTAATGATACCGAAGGTCCCAGCTTTCGGGGATAAGTCGGTGATTATTTGAACTACTATTATTCAATCTACGACTACTTCCACTGCGATGACGATATCAGCGCTCCTACGTCAAAGCATCAAGCCGCAACCCAGCGATTGGAAGAGAAAATGAACCGCGGAAGAGAAGGAGCACTGACGATTGGAAATATGTTGAAGATATGGTCAAAGAATCCCTGCTCGACAACGTAGCACTCTCCGACCCAGTTAAGATGCAATACTTGACCAACATCTCCGAAGGCGAGGCAACACGACTCGTAATCCCGAGATTCTCATGCACAAGAACGTAATTGAAGAACGCGTGGCAGTCATTGGAGCGAAAGTGTGGTAGTGAATTCACCCAGAAGCGACGTAGGAAATGAATGCTCTCGAAAACTGGTCGATCTGATCCGAGGAAGAGTTGGCCGAGAAGCACATGAAAAGTAAGTTGTTTTATGCGTGGAAAATTTTTGTTCCTCATTGCAGACGTCGTTGTCCGAACCACCCATCAAAACGCGAATCGTGTCTTTCCCATCCACACACTCTCCGATCGGCCATTCGGAGAGCTGAGCTTCGAGAAAAACGGCGAAAAAGTCGGATGTTTCGAGCATTCCCAAAGTCGACGATACGGTGTAACCGTGAATCCCAGAATTCCATGCGCTGTTCAGTTTGATCAGCGAAGCAAACGAGAAATTTATGATCCCTTGGAGGTGCTGGAAATTTTGGAAGGCTAAAAAGTCAGCATTCAGAAGACCCAGGAAGAACCTAAATTGGTCAGTTGTCTGAGTCTACGACATTTTTTAGCGATTTTTTTTATTTAAGAGACTGTTTTAGAAAAAATTTTTTGGGCTGATCATCAAGTACAATGTAATTATTCATTTAATTTCAGACTGAAATGATGACTCGAGAACGCCAACTTCCTCCTGCGTCCTTTATTGATATGATCACTACGATTAGCGGAGAAAAATGACCGTCTACATGGCAAACATAACCGCCAATCAATTCGAACACAGACAAGCAAGAAGTTTCACAGTGCAAAGTGAACTTTTTGTTTTCGCACAGTTAACGCCTCGAAAACCACTCCAGCGACTATGCAAAGGACGATTGTCAGATTCCTGTCAACTCGATGGAATTTATAGAGAGAGAAAGATGTCTCCCGTGTCAACTGTTTCCCCAGCTGTTTTTCCCCGATGTTCGAGAATGTTCGATGGAGAGATCCCGAAGCGGAGAGCCTGAATCGCGGCACCGTAGCCTTCTCTGAGGTTTTATCCCATCTTGATTGATAATTTGTGAAGTGGTTGTGTGTAGTTGTGAAGAGTTGTGTTGTTGTAGCGTGTGTTTTGTATTGTACTGCTATTGTGAACTTATTGTATTTGTTACTCTTTTGATAAATTGATCTATTCGAGTTGAGTATCATTTATTCTCGTGTTTATTTCCAAGGGGAACGAAATCATTCGATTACCCGATTTCCACATCCGCAACCTTCCACTTGAAAGGCCAAGTATTTTCAGGTAGAAGGTGTTGGAAGTTATCCACTGAAGAGACCACCGCAGGACAACTAGCCATCTCGTTATTTCTTTTCTCTCCGAGGGTGGAATCGGACAACGATTATGGCTTATGGACAAAGTGTGGTAATCACACAAAAAAAAGTAAATTTCATTTTTATTTTGTGTGACCACCCCTTCCTTCCCTTTGAAGTCAGGTTGGCCAAAAAGTCATCAAAAGGGCAGAAAACCAGTCATGAAACTATGCAAATATTTAATTACGTACGATCCTACGATCCCCCATCTAATCAAAGCCCCGCCGCTGACTAAAGCCGCTAATTGGCCGCCAGATCATTTACTAAAACCCAATCAATTCGAACAATGAGCAATTCCACGAGCATATAAAGGGCCGCGGAGCAGTTGGAATTTGCAACGATTTGAACAATGGCCACAATTTTGATTTTGTTGGCCTTATGCGGGGGCCTTTACGGCCAACGGGTCACTCCGGAGCAGCAGCTGAAAGCTGAAACAGCGCTGATGGCGAAACGAATGAATCGGAATGTTGAGCCGTGTGAGAACTTTACCGCGTTTGCCGCGGGAAACATTGGGTTAGCGTCGACGAGGGCGGTGAACATCATTGAATCCGCCAAAGTGCTGAGCAGAGTTCATTTTCCAACACAGGTAGGTTGAAAGTACAGGGAATATAGTCATAGTCAAAATAGTATAGGGAAATATAGTCGAAATATATACATAATCTGTGTGCAGCAACGCCTTGTACAATACAACAAAACCTCGCTATAACAACCAGAATTTCAAGGGCAATACTGGTCAATCTTACAAGGGAAGTACCGCAAGCCTCGACGCTCAGATTTTCTTTACATTGTGCAAAAATTTTGTGCATAGGCCACATGTCAATTCCTGAAAGTTCTAACTCTCGCTTTGCAACCGCTGCCGAGAAATTCAACGATCTTTGCCGCCGAGAGAGTACGCAAAACGTGGAGAGCGGTTAGAGAGAAACAACACTTTTTTGGCTATAACTTTGCCATAACTAGTATCGCCCAGAAAAAGAGAATTTTTGGTGAAAACATTACCATCGAAGGTAGAAATAGATACGTAGTTTTTGATGTCAAAACTCAAAAAAATGAGGTAGTACGCGAAACGTGGAGAGCGGTCCTAAAAAGTACCTTTTGGCCATAACTTTGTCAGCTTGGCCCCGAAAAAATAATCTTTGTGAAGAGATTATCGTCATAGGTAGAAGTAGATGTGTACTTTTTTATGCCAAAATTTGCGAAAAACTTCCACATTTTTGCCTACTTTCGATCTAAAAATCTCCGTCGTTTCTGTAAAGCACAAGCTTGCAGTCTGGCATATGCCTTAGAAAAAACTATTCTAAATTCCTCCCAAGTTTCTGCAAAATCTGAGCGTCGTACTTAGGGTACTCCCCTTGCATCCAAAATGAACCTCTATACAACGAAAGCCTTCTATAGAAAATAAATTTTCTGATTCCTTATTGTATACAGACTTTTTTAAGGCACTTCTTTCATATATTTACATATGTTGCAGGCGAGTTCCTTGAAAACCGTCAAAGACGTCTACAAAGCGTGCAAGGCCGACAACTCGACCCTGATCCCCCCTCTATTCAACACAACCGAGATCAAAAATGTCACTGATGAGTTGGCAAAGTACGCTGCCACCTCCGGAGCTGATCTGACTTCGTTTATTAAGGTCTACGGAAACGTTCTGCGCGTCCTCTTCAATTACGGACATGACTACTTCTCCGAGAAGCTGTTTCTCTCCGGAATTCGGCTGCCTTCAGTGATTGCAAAGGGAAATTTGACAATCCCCAAGGAGAATGAGTGTAAGACGCTGGCGGGTGTTGCGCTTTGCGCTAATCTGACAAAAACCGTCTTTGGAATCGATGGATGCACAAATGCGACAATCTATATTCCGAAAAATGTAAGGATGCATACAGTGAAATCTCTATACGATGAATCTGAAAGGGACCAAAAAAATCGTTTTTTTTTTATTTTTTTTGCTGTACTGTCAGCCAGTCGGGAAAATAATGAGCACAACGTCGCTGCGCCGATCGTGTCGCTGAAGTAAAAAGCAATTTGATTTTTGACACAATTCATTTTCTCGGCGGCGATGCGATTTTTGATGTGACAAAGTGCTCATTATTTTTCCGACATATTGATAAACAGATCCCGCTGTACTAGTCCTTTTGCAAAGCCGCTGGATTGATTTCAGTGGCATGCGCAAAAAAAAACACAAAAAATCATTTTGCACAGTGCAATAGGCTTTTTTTGGGCCGTCGCTCCAACCGTGACTTTATTTTCTCTGTGCATATTGCCGAAATCGCTCCAGCGACTTTGCGAACGGAGTAGTGCTGACAATTAAGTCCCTTCAGGCCCTTTGGTGGGCTTTTAAAACCGCAGAAAATGGTTGCTACAGAGAGATTTTGTATTTCACAAAATGCTGTAGTAATCTCTGAAAAATGAACTCCCGCTGAGAATAAACTGTCTATAAAGAACAATTCCAAAGGCATTGAGAGCTATTTTTAGGGCGAAATAAACCTCCGTAGAATGAAACCTTTCTATGACAAATAAATTCCTCAATTTATTCTAATATCGTTGTACGAGCATTCTACTCTATAAATTCTGTTATTTTTTGTGCCTTGGCGTTTCCTAACGCAGCAAAGATCCCTTTTCAGGCGGCTGAAAGAAAGAACTACTCAACTGCACTTGTGCAATTCCTCAAAAATAACGTCACCGCGCAAAACCTCACTTCCTGCGAGGAATACATCTGGAAAGTATACCCTATCTACTACAAAAAACTTCTCATCGACTTCTACTTCCCCTCTGAGCGGTCGCTCAAGCGTTTCCACGACAAAATCCTCGCCTACGCGACGGGATTCAACATTGGCATCAAGGAGTTTGTTTCGTTCGCGGAACTTTCCAACTCGACCGTCGACGAAATCAACAAGCGCACCAAGACTGTGCTCTTTCACTTTTTGAGCCATCCAGTTTTTGATGACACGGAGTTTGCAAAGTCTTTTGGAACGCTGAATTCCACGGAGCCCTATTACAACAGGCACATCAACAACATCAAGCCGTTGTTGGAGTGGAATCTGAAGAAGAATTTGACGCGGTTTGCGACCTTCAGCTTGGAGGTAGGTTTTGTAAATTTGATTATATGGTAGTATTAGATAGTTTAGTTTGAAGTTTACAAAATTTTTAGGAGCATAACCACGTGGTTTTCGAAGCCGACCGGACGGAAATTCACTTTGGCTGGCCCGCATTGTCATATCCAAATTTCTACGAAGGTCTGCCAACTCAACTGGTCTTCCCCAACTTTGTCGTGCCTTTCAAGACCTTATTGGGTAGGTGTTTCAAAGTCTAGGAGCAAGTGTCATATTCAAAAATCATATTATGAATTTTTAAGAGGCAAAGATGGGGGAAGTGCTTACAAGGAAAGTCGTTCAGATCGCAAATGAACTATGACATGAGACCTGTGTGGTTTTATAGTCACATACTCTACTATATCGAATATAAAGGCATTTTTGCGTCTGGGCCCCGCGGCCGAGAAAATCGACTATAAAGTTTCGCAAGAAGAGAGCGCCGAAAAAGTCCTCTCTCCGAAAGCAAACCCAAACAGCTGCCCAGTTGGCCGAGTGGAAAGAGCGCTCGTCTAACGAATCTTCTTTTGGGTCGGGGGGCTGGGTTCGATTCCGTTCACCTGCAATGTAAATGGTAAGACTACTGTGTACACTACAGTATGCGTAAAAAAAATTTTTTTTGTGTTTTTCCAATTTTATGTAGATTTGTGCTTTTTCTTCAGACAAAAACAAACAAAATTACTAATTTTTTTATTTAACTTTTTAACTATCATTTAACAACAGTCGTGAACACATTTAACAAAATGATGAAAACAAAGTTTTTGATTACAGTACGAGCACAAAACAAAAGACAAGATGTCACAACTTCCTTTCGACAACTTTCCGATAGCCTTGCGGCGTAGCCGCAGGAAGCTCTCCGATTACCATTCCAAGTCATGCCATTTTTAACAGTCTGGAGAAAAGTCGACTAAATTTGTTTGTTTTTGTCTGAAGAAAAGGCACAAATCTACATAAAATTGGAAAAACACAAAAAAATTTTTTTTACGCATACTGTAGTGTACACAGTAGTCTTACCCTTTACATTGCAGGTGAAAGGAATCGAACCCAGCCCCCGACCCAAAAGAAGATTCGTTAGACGAGCGCTCTTTCCACTCGGCCAACTGGGCAGCTGTTCGGGTTTGCTTTCGGAGAGAGGACTTTTTCGGCGCTCTCTTCTTGCGAAACTTTATAGTCGATTTTCTCGGCCGCGGGGGCCCAGACGCAAAAATGCCTTTATATTCGTTATAGTAGAGTATGTGACTATAAAAACACACAGGTCTCATGTCATAGCTCATTTGCGATCTGAACGACTTCCCTTGTTAGGAAAATGAAAATATTTTGTGTTTGTCTGCTACGATAGGACCTATAGACCACTGAACAACCCCCTTCTATGAATTGACGGTATGATCTCTGCCTAAAGGCCATATGATTTTCACAGAGAGAAAGACCTAAAACCCTCTTCACAACAAACATTTTTAGAGGTTCCAAAAGTCCATAAAAGGACAAGGAGAACCTCAATAAACATTCGACAAGAGAACAAGTCAGTCTTTTTTGATTCGTTGTACAGAGATTCAATTGAATGTAGCCCTACATTTTTCGAAATATATATTATATTTTCCTGTCGATAAAAAAGCTTATCCTTCTGACCTCAACATCTCTCTACTACAACCTATTTTTTCAGCGAACGAAATCACCTACGCCGCCTTCGTCAAGTGGGTTGGAATCAACGAAGCCGTTACTCAAATTCCGGCTCCTTTCGGCCCCGAACTAAATCATGAGCATCTCTACTTCATCAAGTTGGCTCAACTCATCGCTGAGAACAATGACAATGGAGTTGAAGATGTTTGGAATATTATCCGATGTTTCCCCGCTTTTTCGGACACTTTCAAGTGTACACATGGCAATGATTTCCACTACGACCGGAGAGACTGTCAAGGGAAGTCGGAGAGTCTGTTTCCAAGCTACGAGATTGCATAGAAGAGACGAGAAGTCGTAATTTTCGTACTGTAAATCAACTATACACCAACATTCCGAACGGACAAAGGCTTTTGTCTATTTGAGGGATTTTATTGACCTTTGTGGACTCATAATTAATAAAAATTAATCAAAATGCAAAGAAAAATAAAGTGTTTTTTGACCAAATATTGTCATCAAAAATTTCCTAATTTTGCCTCAGGCTATTTACAATTTCTCGTCGGCCATGGAATGGCTCAAAATTTTACTGTATATTACAGTAGTCCACAAAATAAACGCTGATGTTCTCTCGGAAAAAGCCGCCTTCTTCGGCGAAGGACTCAATTATGAAGAGAATCCTTGCGTCAATTTCCCAAAATTTGCCGCAGGCGATTTCCCACCGAACACGACGAAAGTTTGGAAAACAAAAATTGCGGCAGAAGTGTTGAACACATCTAGAGAAAATGAGGTGAGTAAGGTGCTTTACAATCTTTGTTGGTCTTAGAAAGCTGTGTAATTTTGTTTCCAAGCACGCTCAACCCTCGGTGGTATAACACTTTGAGCCTACAAAACCCGTCTATAACAAACAGTTTGGACTTCCTAAAAGCTAATTTTAGGCCAAAATGAACGTCCGTACAACCAGGCATCCCTGAAAACGGATAAATTTTTTGATCTATTTTAATTTGTTGTATATGTAAAGAGGTTTTGGAAAGGCTTCCGAGTGTGAGACACAGATTTCTTACCCAAAATCCAAGCGTCGCACTAGGAGTACTTCCCCCGTTAGCCAAAAAATGGTGATCCTTGTGTTATATTACATTCTAAATGCCACTTTTATTCGACGCTTTGGCCTAGAAAAGTGCCTCTAAAAATTTGATAGATAATGTCCTAAAAGACTGTCCCTAATAAGATTGAATTTTCAGCCAGCTCCCGTCAAGAAAGTTCGCGAAATTTACAAAAAATGCAAATCTGACGCCTCCCTGTTGAAAACGCCTCGAATTTTCAACTCACCGAACAAAGCCAAGATAGCGCAGCAGCTCAAGGACTACTTGGACAAAAACGATTTTTTTGACCACAAGGTTTTCCATCAAAATTACATCCCCACTCTGGCCGACATGTTCAACTTTGGAGCTGCGTATTTTGGCGAACACTTGTTGCGGAAGAGGATCTACATTCCGAAGCCGAATACGAGCACCGTCGATGAGCATGAAGTGTGCCGGAGGACGGTTCCGGAGGCACAACGAGATGGGATTTGCAAGAATCTGGTCGCGGAGATTTTTGGAGTGCCGAATGCTCCGGAGAACTTTGGAGTCGTATATTTTCCGGGCAATGTAAGGCAGTACAGTGAAAATTAAGTTGAGCTAGTCAAAAGGGAACATAAGGTCAGGCAGGGCTAGTATATTTTCCATTCCATTGCAGGCCGCCCACCGCAGAGCGTTGATTCTCGAGCTCCAGAAATTCTACGAAAGCCCCGCCGATCCGGGGCCGTTCCCCGACTGCGAAGCCTTGATCGTCGAGAGCTTCCCCATGATCTACAAAAAGATTTTGCTCGACGCCAAAATGCCTCAGAACGAGACAGAAGCCTTCAACGAAAAGCATATGATTTACGCCACAGCCATCGTTCAAGAGTACCGTCGATTAATTCACTTCGAATTTGTTCCGGAGGAGGAGAAAAAGCGTGTGGACGACTTTCTAAATCACCTCAAATTTGAGCTGATTGGTCATCCAACCTTTCAGGACGATGTGTTCGCCCAGTACTTTGGAAATATTGATACTGAGAGCTTCTGGACCAAACGGCATGTGAATAGTATTCAGCCGTTGATCAAGTTTAATGTGGACAAGAACAAAATGGCTTTTTACACCAACAGCTTGACTGTAGGTGCATTTTTTTGCGCCAAGCTCTGTGTAAAATCTTTGTAAAACAAAACCTTTCTATAGCGGACAATTTTGGAAGTCGCAGATATCATTTTTGGATAAAAACCCCTTCATACAATAATGTATTTCCCATAACAAACAATTTTTTTCATTTATATGTTCACAGGTTCACTGTTCAGTGGAGTTTCGTTTTTAGGAGCACACAGTCTTCATGGCCCAAGACAACAACACTTATATTGCATTCGGCTTCGAAGCAGTGTTGCCGCCTTATTACCACAGCGAGTACCCGCCCTACTTTGTGTTTTCCAATTATATTTTCGACTTCTTCGGAGAGTACAGTAAGCATGGCGCCAGTAGCGAATAGTCCGAAGTTAGAGGCTGATTTCTATTGCTTTTTGCACACATATAAGGTCGAGGCCGTACGGCAATTATAGAAAATTTAAGTCGCGCTTTACGGAACCAGCCGAAGTACCAACCTGTCGGGAAAATAGTGTGGATTTTTTGCAGAAAAAGGTCTCGCTTCGTCACAGTCTCACATCAAATTTTCAAATGCGGCAAAGTGATGGCAAACTAATGGTGGACGACAACGAATCCACATTATTTTCCCGACAGATTGATGCAAGAAACTTCCATAGTATCAGCCTCAAAAATTTGTCGCAGTACAAAGCCTCATCGCATCTGCGCACCAAATAGCCGTGGCAAATGAGTTATGGGCGGCGGCGAATTCACATTATTTTCCCGACAGACTAATACATGAAATTTCTATAAAATCAGTTTGTCGGGAAAATATTGAGAACAGTGTCGCTGCGCTAATCGCGTCGCTGAAGTAAAAAAAAATCTGATTTTATTGCGATACAATTCATTTTCTCGGCGGCGATGTGATTTTCGATGCGACAGAGTGCCCATTATTTTCCCGACTGACTGATATCTTATAATACTTACAATTAGCAAGTAATTTGGCGTTTCAGTGAGTCAAGTCATCCACTACGCGTATGTCCACTACGTCGCAAATTACGGTACCGGAAAACCGTTTGATGATGAGTTCACCCACTCCTGGTCCCACGAACAACTCTACTTCATCAACTTGGCTCAATTGATTGTCCTGCAAAAGCGCCAAAAGGGCGAAGATCCGTTCGATGAGAACGATAAAGCTTGGAGAATATTCAAATGCACCCGCGCCTTCTCCAACGCCTTTCATTGTCCGGCCGGAAGTAAGTATCATGTAACGACGGACTGCGATGTGCTGAAGGGAAATTACAATTGGAGCGAGGAGCTGGATTATTACAAAAAGAATGAGAGTTTAGTTGTAAAACACTGATCGGTTGAACATACGAATGTTTGGCGGAGAAAATAAAAAGAGTTCGGATTGAGACTTTTTAGGTCAAGTTTTCCCTTATGAGTCAAGCTGTTTTCTTTGGGTCAAGTCTTTCCTTATGGGCCAGGTTGTGCTGTTGTGAATCAGGTTATACGCTTATGAGTCAAGTTTCGCCCTTGCGCGTTCAAGCTCTGACCTTATGAGTTAAGTTGTGCCTCTTTGGGTCAACTTTTGACTTGGGGTCAATCTTCGCCCTTATGAGTCAAGTCTTTCCTTATGAGTCAAGTGGCGCCGTTATGAGCCAAGCTGTGTTCTTTGGGTCAAGTTTTTCCCTTAGGAGTCAACTTGTGGCTTTTGGGTCAATTTTTGCCCTATGACTCAGGTTATGTCACTGCGTATGAAGCTTTCCCCGTTTGAGTCAAGTTTTGCCGTTATGAGTCAGATTTTGCCTTGTGGGTCCAGTTTTAATTAAGAGTCAATCTTCGTCCTAATGAGTCAAATTTTGCTTTTTTGGCTAATTTTTGCCTTTTGGGCCGGGATGAGCCGTTGTGGTTCATGTTTTACCCTAATAAGTAAAGTTGTGCCTTTCTGGGTCAAGTTTTGCCCTTTTCAGTTTATGAAAGCCCAGTTACCACAAAGTTGAAAATATTACACAGTACTGAATCAAACGTGCCTGTCATCAGTCATACTTATAGCCAAAAAATGCCAGAACCGATACCCCTCCAACGCCAATACAATATTTATTTTCCCTTGAACATATTCACCACGACATCCTTTCCCGACTTTTTCGTTTTACTCTTCTCCAGCGTCTTCTGGGAAGGCGCAGCGCTGACGGGAGGCTCGATTTGTTTGTTGAACATCTCATACAGCTGATTGACGCTTTCCAATTGGCAATATGGGCTGAGGACGGCGGGCTCCGGGAGCTCTTCGATGGGTTCGTTTGGAGGCTTATGACGCTTGTAGTATTCTGGGATTTTGCCGGGCAATGTGTAATCTTCATCGTCCAGGATCTTCTTCAGCCGTTCTATGGACTAAAAATACTTTTTTTGAGGGTAGAAATGGGCAGTAAAATTTTGTAATAAACAATGAGAAATGTAATCAAACATCGCTACAACTCCCCTTATAAATTATTGAAAAAAATCAATAACTTTTGTGACATTTCGTCAAACCTTGAGTACAACAGAATAATGGAAAAATACTTGGATAAATTTTGCCAGAGACTAAAGTAGTTTTCATCGAGAAAAAAAGTGTAAACTTACATCCTGCTTGACCTGTCGGTTGTTGAGGGAAAGCGAACAGAACAGGCTCACAACACAGCAAATGCACACACAAAAGATGGTGAAAATCCTGCAGAAAATGTAATAAAATCTCCTATAACATGCAATATACAGTCAAGCCTCTGTAAACCAAATTTCAGACCAGCAAAACCTGTCTATAACGGACATTTTTGGAAGTTCCAAAATAAGGGATTTTACTAATTGTAAGAAAAAATTAACCTTTTTACAACGCAACCTATCTATAACGAATTAAATTTTGGTGGCGTGCAATTTGTTGTTCAGAGGCTTGACTGTAATCAAAAGCAAAAAAATTAGCTCCAAAAATCATCAACTCACCCAATAAGATAGAAGAAAAAGTACGGGATGTCCTCTTCGGCTTCGTGATAATCGGTTCTTTTGAGCAAAATCTCCGAAGGCTGGACAAACGAATCCATTTCACGACTCAAATCCGACCGTTCGGCGGGAAGAAAATTGAAAATAAAGTAAAAAATAAAAAATTATTCCAAATATTTGACAGTTTTGATGAGAATTTGATGAGAATTCCGGGGTTGCAGAAGTTTTAAAAATGAGATTTTTTCAATTGTCATCGGGAAGTTTATGCTGCGGGGTTCCATACAATATTTATATTTTCTGAAAGCCAGTTTTTTACTCTACAGGGTGTTCCAAGAATTATGGAAAAATCTATTCGTTAATAACTTTGTGCTCGGTGGTCCAATCCGAAATTTTTTTTTGCATTTTGCAGAAAAACCTTGGAGTTTTTAGAATCAAAAATTTTTTTTTGTTTAAACGGCGGAGGCTTCTGTAATCCGCCTTGAATTCGGCGGAGCGGTTTTTTCACAAACAAGGCTGTAAAAATGGGTTCATTTTTTTCTCCGCCGGTTTCTCCGCCGAATTGCTTTTTTTCTTCTCCCAGTGGGCCGAAGGCGTAACAAGTCGTATTTAGGCGCCATGCCACCAGGAATACCATACGTTTTGGTTTTGGCCAATTTTGACTCTTCAAAGTCGAAGAAAAATCGTCCGCCGGGGTTAAAAAATGTCTGCGCCGAATGACAAAAATTTGAAATAAATGTCATATTGTATCTTCTGAATCCTTTTCCGCCTCCTTTCTTCACACATGCAACAATTTACAGCCCCATTTGTGAAAAAACACTCCGCCGAATTCAAGGAGGATTACCGAAGTCTCCGCCGATCAAAGAAAAAAATTTTTTTTTGATTTTAAAAACTCAAATGTTTTCCTGTAAAATGTAAAAGAAATTTTTCGGATTGGACCACCGAGCACAAAGTTATTAATGAATAGTTTTTTCCATAATTCTAGGAACACCCTGTACTGCCATACCAGATTTCAGCCTTCTAGCGCAAACGGCTAGCGAGATATTGAGGAATAAAGCAAGCGCATTCCGAAAAAAATTGAAAGAGTCGCGGAGATCGGTTGTGTCCCAACCTGATTGATTTTTTTGGGCGTTTTCCGTACTCTGAAGCCACAAATTCACAGAAAAATAATAAAGTCATCGTTTATTTACATTTCTTTCAATACATGTATCTTATAAAATCAACAGTAAACAAAGCCTATGAGAGATCAGGACCAGCAAAGATGAGGAGAGGAGGCTCTGAAATTAAAGTTTTATTGTTAGCTAAAGATGATGAACTTTTGCCATACCTTCCGCCGAAACCATGTAAAAAATATTCCGTTTGCCACCATCTATCACAAAGAAGACATTGTCGCTATAACGTCCAAATATTGCGTTTGATGAGCATTTTTGCACGGTCTGTTGGATTGGCTTGCTGTGGGTAATTGTAAACGTCTGGAAATGGAAAATAAAACACCATGGAGGAAAATGCGAGCGAAAAAACTTTGAGCATCTTGTCATAGGTTTCATATGCAGAGGCGTATCTAATCCAGTGGTCTGAAAATTACCATTTTGCATCCGGGAAGTATAAAAAATGTAGCAAAATGCCTCCATCTCCAACTAAAAAAAGAACTCCGTTTTGAAGGGCGCCCCTTTGCCTCGCAAAAAAAGAGAGGGCGCGCTTTTTGAAATGGGAGTTTTCTTGCTTGGAGAGGTAGGTACAGTGCGCGACAAAATTATAACCGCACTTTAGAAATTGCTGTAACTTTTTTGGTTGTCAATAGAAATGTGTCATATTTGGCTTCAATATGCACTATTGTCTTACAAATCATTTGCCAAAAAATTATTTCGGGAAATTCCCCGATTTGGAAAAAAATTGAAAAAAACCAAAATTTTGGTGATTTTCTTTGCGACAAAATTATAACCGCACTTACGAATTTGGTTATTTAGCCTAACTAAATGACTAAATAACAATAACTAATGTTTAGATACGTTGCTTGAGGCTTCAATAACGTCGACTGAATAGTTGGGAATACTCTGGGCAAGCTTTTTTAACCTCTTCTGGCTAATATTGTGCCAGAATCGGAAAAGTGCCTACTTTAGCTCAGGTAGGCCGTTCCAAAAGAGTTTGTCAGTAACTAACTGAGTAACCCAGAAGCCTATAGCACATCTAAACGGCCTGGCAAAAAAGGTGTACCACTGCAGAAGAGCAAGGGCGGATATATCCGCCGAGCTTCCAACTCTACGATGCCTTGGGCTCATATAAACTAAGAAATAGGCCTCAATTGTAGGAGGGAAGCTATGCTGGGGGTTGTGAGACACAGTTACGTCATCACTGGGCGTCATATGAAGTTGTGGCCTGAGCTGTCTCGGGTTCACGGCAGTGCGCGGCCGAGACTTGCCAAGGTGACATTGGCAAAACAGGTTGATTAGTTAAAGGTCAGTTTCACATGATAGTGCCAAATTCCTTGGAGATTTTATGGCCAAATGATGTACCTGACGGCTTCACACATTACCGACATTATAGACGTAAAATCTAAAGAGAAACGCGTAATTTCCCGCACTGTAACGTTTTAGGTTTTAGGTGGCTCGTTGATAACTTGGGGCGCATTCGAAGAACCGTAGAGCTTCCGTTGGCGGCCACATCAACTCAAAATGAGTATCCTTGAGTACTAAGGAGTCTTAGGAAAGCATCTGGTAGCGTATTGGCAACCAGAGTACACGTTAATGCAAGGCAGTGCTCGCGTATACCTTAGCTGGTCGTCAAAGCTGCTCCTCAAACAGCCAAGAAATGCTATCCCGGACGAGCCCACGCGTTCCTTGGATTTAAATCAAATAGATAACGTGTGGGGCTTCCTGCTTTGTTAACTACACCGCGACAACAAGCATTATTTTACAGTAACGGAGATAAAATAGGCACATTTCCAATACTGGAACAGTATTGGCCAGAAGAGGTTAAAAAAGCTTGCCCAGAGTATTCCCAACTATTCAGTCGACGTTATTGAAGCCTCAAGCAACGTATCTAAACATTAGTTATTGTTATTTAGTCATTTAGTTAGGCTAAATAACCAAATTCGTAAGTGCGGTTATAATTTTGTCGCAAAGAAAATCACCAAAATTTTGGTTTTTTTCAATTTTTTCCAAATTGGGGAATTTCCCGAAATAATTTTTTGGCACATGATTTGTAAGACAATAGTGCATATTGAAGCCAAATATGACACATTTCTATTGACAACCAAAAAAGTTACAGCAATTTCTAAAGTGCGGTTATAATTTTGTCGCACACTGTATTTTGCTACATTTTTTGGCGGTTGTTCGAATGCAAAATGGCACCCTTACTGCCACTGGATTAGGTCCGGCACTGCAACATAAGTCTTGATTACCTTGAGCAACGCACATCCGTCTTTTTGGTCCAATAGCAACAAGAACGCACTCCGACTGAGCTGTCGATTTTGGCAGCGAAAAATGGCGGTCCTTTGGAGACGCCTCGGCTGCGAATGATAGATGGAAATACTATGTTCTGGATCAAATACGACAAGTGAATTTTCATATGCATACAATGAAGGAGACTGAAAGAAAAATCGCGTCAAATTTCTGTACAACAAATTAAAGGGAGCGGAAAATAAGCCCGTTTTGGAAAGGTTTTGCTTTACAGAGGCTGATTTTGGCCTAAAATTTATTTGCAAAGCCTTTGGTCCATGGATGCACTAATGCGACAATTTATATTCCAAAAAAACGTAAGGATGGATGCATACGGTGAAATCTCTATATAAAGGTGGTCATATAAGATCTCGGAATTTTTTTTTCCAAATCGCGATTTTCGGTGCACAAAAAAGTCGACGCCCAAATCGAAAAATTGACGTCGAGTTAATTTTTTCTCGGAACCCAATTCCGGAATCCGGTGCATTTTTGCTAAACCCAACGCCCGTTTTTCGAAATCGGTGCACAAAGTCTTAAGTCTGCACCGAAGCCCTAAGTCGACACCGGATTTCGGAATTCGGTGCAGACTTTGGGGAACAGTTGACCCATTTTATATTCCTGCTCGAGAAGATTTTTTTTTGGGTTTCGCCAATCTTCAAGATATATTTTATGAATGAAGACAAGATGGAATTAGTCCAAAAAAGGAATTTTTACCAAGAGCAGGCTGCCCTGTTCGATCTGATGTCTAGATTTCCCGTTTTCTGCTCGGATAAAGCACCAAATTTTGGAATGTTGTGATGTTTGTTGTACCATGGATAATGTAAGTTTTATGCTGCTTTATTCGAGCAGAAAACGGGAAATCTAGACATCAAATCGAACAGGGCAGGCTGCTCTTGGTAAAAATTCCCTTTTTGGACTAATTCCATCTTGTCTTCATTCATAAAATATATCTTGAAGATTGGCGAAAACCAAAAAAATCTTCTCGAGCAGGAATATAAAATGGGTCAACTGTTCCCCAAAGTCTGCACCGAAGGCTTAAGTCAACACCGAATTCCGGAATTTGGTGCACACTTTAAAAATTTTGGAATTGGGTGCCGAGTTAAAAATCGGGGTCTTAAGTCGACGCCAATTTTTCGATTTGGGCGTCGACTTTTTTGTGCACCGAAAATCGCGATTTGGAAAAAAAAAATTCCGAGATCTTATATGACCACCTTTATATGATGAATGAATCGCAAAAGGACCAAAAAATTAATTGGTTATATCAGTCTGTCGGGAAAATAATGGGCACCCTATCGCATCTAAAATCGCATTGCAGCAGAGAAAATGAATTGTGTCCGAAAAATCAAATTGCTGTTCACTTCAGCGACGTGATCGGCACGTGCTCATTATTTTCCCGACAGACTGATTCTGGAAGACTACGCACCCTTCCTGAACGTGCATAGACTTTTCGCTGCTTAAATTTTTACACTGTGAAATTTTTCATTTTCGATGCAACAGAGTGCTCATTATTTTCCCGACAAACGGATAACAGGTTTCGTTGTACCGAGAATTAAAAAAAAATACCTGGCATATATCCTTGTCGTACGTGCCCGTAGCGTGCCCCGCGTCCAGGTCGTAGCACACCACATACTTGTGCGTCGTCACCTCGAACAGTTTGTTGTTGCTGACGACGAAGGCGTGCTTTTTGGGCCACAGGGAATTCGCCACATGGCCCGGATGCTTGTTGCGAGAATCGAGGCTTTTCGCGCAGAACCTTCCGCCCTTTTCGTAGTAGACACATTGACTGTCGAATGCTAGTTGACGGATTGGGGATGAGGGGAAGGGCGATTCCATGCCCTCATTAATCCGCATTGTTTTCCCGATCGACTGAAAGAAAGAAAGTGTTTGAGGTTTACAGGGGAGGTTGAGCCTGGACTCTCCCCCAATCTGAACTCTCCCCTTTTTTGAACACTCCCCCTCATTTTGAAACTGGAAAAAAAGAAGGAGAGTTCAGTAAAGGGGGAGTTCTGCCGCAACGTACAGGGGAAGCGCTCACAGTGCGGCGCACAGATTTTCTATAAACTTCTTGGACATTTTGAGTTAGCGCCACAGGTTAATTTATGAAAAAATCTAGCTCGCTCTTGGCAGGGCAGCCGGGATACTCGGTTAGACATGGCTCCTGGGCCGGGCCTCAAACATTGTTCATTATTTCAATAGGGCCTGTAAAGCGCGAGCTAAACTTTTTAGGATGTATGACCCTTGTCCGGCATGCTCGAAAAAAAATTGCAGAATTTTTTGCTCGCAAATATTTATTAAGCTTACACATATTTCTTTACGAAAAGACCCATCATCTTTAGCATCAGCCATATCATAGGGATTGCCCAACTCAATCCGCAAATCTCCACCGAGTTTTGTCAGTGAAACATTGCGAATTTCCAAGTCTTCCAAAGTCTCTTCATTTTCAGACATTTTCACTGTCGTTTCGATTTCGACTGCACAGAATGTCCCTCGATGTTCGCTGAGCCGGTCGAGAAATATGGGCTTCCCGGCGACTCTGCGGTCGTTTTTCATACTTCTTTCAAGCAAACCGGTTAGTGGGATTTGAGGCAATGACGATAGGAATCTGAAAATACAGTGATGACCTAGTGATCAGAAACACGTAAGTGGTTCCAGAAGTGCTGGAAAAGACAATATCCACCGAAAACCGTCTTGAATAGACATGGAACTCTAACAGACATTATCAGCTTGTCGGGAAAATAATGAGCCGAATTCGCGGCAAAATCAAACTACTTTTTATTTCAGCTACGAGATCAGCATAGTGAGATTATGCTCATTATTTTCCCGACAGACTGATAGAACTTTTTTCACAAAAACAAATTCTGATATTCGACAATGCTTGTGGTGTTGGAGAATTAAAATTAGTGCCGAAAATGGTGTGCCCGCAAATAATGAGCACTACGGATGGACCAGAATTTGATTTGTTGTCAGTACGCAACTTACTTTTGAAATTCCTCCCCCCACGATGCCCCCTTTTCTCGAAGCAAGCCATTGCTTCGACATGCATCCTCAAATTGCACTTGATATTTTGGATCATTCGGACTGACGGAGTCGGCGAACTGAATGAAATGCAGTCCCCTGACTACCATGGTTTTGATCTAAAAATATGAATCCAAGTATCATGACAAAAATGACGGGTCTATCAGTCTGTCGGGAAAATAATGAGCACTCTGGCGCCGCGAAAATCGCATCGCTGCCGAGAAAATGAATTGTGTCGCAGCAAAATCAAATAGCTTTTGAATTCAGCGACGGGATTTGCGCTGCGACAAATCCACATTATTTCCCCGACAGACTGATACACTATTTTCAAATCTGATAAACTTACTTCATTTGGCAGTTTTCTCAAAATCCTCTTTGCTACAGTTTGCCGGCGAAATCTCTCTTCTAGTTCCGTTTGAGAGAGCGGGGAAGGTTGTTGATCTGACATTAGCGGACTTGCGGACTTCTAGTGCCCTCCATTCCTCACATAAGTTGGAAGAAACGCGGTGGCGTTGGCTCTGTTCTCGTTACGCAATTTTTTCTGCAGTTTGTTCCGCTTCTGAAGCAACAAAGTGCAGTAAAAACATCTATATATATCGCTAGCGAGCTAGCGTAATATTAAAACTGAGTATAACAAACAATTTCAAATGCATCTTTTTCTCAGGTCGTGTTGTTGATAAATAGAAATTTGTTTGCCCTTCAAGCATTCCGTCAAAGAACAAATGAGTCGACAAAGTCTATTTATTACCCTTGATGTCAAATTTGAGGTCTAACGATGTTAGAGTACATCATTTCTTTATCATTTGAAAATAATCTCAAAACAGGGCACTTTCTGTATGGCCGATATCGGTTATTCCCCACAATCTAAAGAAAACGATTTACTGTGAGTGGATGTGCCGGATTTCAGAGCTTCTCCAAACACGGATAAAAGTCATCGATCGCTTTCTTTCACTGGTGATATCCCCTCTTCAAGTAGTGGCCCTATACCCTACAGTGACGGATCCGATCGAGTAGCAAAAAAAAGTAAAATTTTGCATCTGGGAAGTATCAAAAATGTGGCAAAATCCTTCCCTCTCCAAGTGAAAAAACTTCGGTTTGAAGGGCGCGCCCTTTTGCCTCATAAAAACAGCGGGCGCGCTTTTGCAATGTGAGTTTTTTCACTTGAAGAGGGAAGCATCTTGCCACATTTTTGATATTTCCCGGATGCAGAATGGCACGTTTTTTCCACTGGATCAGGTCCCCGATTGTACGTATGAGCAAAATAAGAAAAACCGAGCGTCGCAATTGGAGCACTTCCCTTGTTAAAGCAAAATGTACCCCCGTACGTTGAAACCTGCCTACAGAAAATGAATCTTTTGACCCCGTGAAATTCGTTCAACGGAAATTCGCTTCTTATTGTTATTGGTAAGAAATCACCACGTTTGTTTTCGACCGTAAAAATTTTTGTAAACAATCACCGGTTTGTATAGAATTTATCAGTCTTTCGCGCCCTGTTTTTTACAAAGGAACCTTCAAATTGGAAAGTTTTATACATTTCTACCGTAGAAGGTAAAGCTTCAACAAAAAAATAAAATTTTTCTTTACCAAACAGGCAAAGATGGGATCGAAAAGCGTTCTTTTCTATGGCCGCCCTCCGCATTTCGCGTACTCTCTCAGCCGCAAAGTCCGTTGAATATCTCGGCTGTCCCTGCAAAGCAAGAGCTAAGGCTTTCAGAGATTGATATACGGCCTATGCCTGAGGTCTGAGAGAAATTTGATTCAAATCTAAGTACTTGAAAGCCTCCTTTTGTAAAGTATGTTACACAACCTTGAAGCATTCTGTTTTTCAAAACTGCCAACGAGCAAAACTTTTAAAGAAATTTATTAACCTTATTATTCGTTCAACGAACTTTTTCTTTCCTTTGCAAAAACACAATAATAACACAATAATATTAAGAAATGGACAAGAGAGAACTCCAGCAAGGTGTATATCAGATCAGAGTGCGTGGGGGGAAACAAACAAAAAAAAGAGAAATATCCAAGTAAAGAAAACTGTACATGAAGACAAGAATTATGACTTGTTCCTACTGTATTGGATGGGCTGATAAGGGGGTTTATAATGCTTTGTGATAAAAGTATTGAACAGTTTTTAAATTATATTGTAGTAGACATATACATGTACATATCGTTAAAGCAAGCGAAGATGGGGCCATGATACGAGCGGAGATACGAAGCACGCTAGTTACAGCACATGATATAAGCAGGGAAACGACTGTTTGGACTTTTATGGACTCAAAACGTGAGGTTCATAAATTTGGACGTCTTTCTTCCTAAAGCTTCAAAAATGACTGTGTTGATGTCTAAGATACTATAGAGCCTCTAACTAGACGATTTCTGACCTTGGCTTTCAACCATAATGTATTAAATATCCTGTTTTTACCTCAAAATAATCAAAAAATCTCGTTCACGTTTTTTATCCATAAAATTCTCAAAATGCATAATAATTAACGTCAAAGTCCATAAAAATGGGGGGAAAAATTCTCGGGAACACGGGGAAATGACTCCGGGTGGCGGAATGGCACAAAATGGGCACGACGAGATACGCTACGCAACAGAAGAGACGTCCGACAAAACCGGTTTGGCAGACTGCACCTATTAATTTTGTTCGGTCCCAGCCGACAAGCCAACGCCGCCAGGACCGCAAGCGTAAGTAGACGGGTCTAGACTAGAACACACTACTCGGAATGCGAGTGGCTGAGCCGGCTGCGCGACTAGGACCGAGGCTTTGGGCCTGAAGAGGTTGGCCGGACTGGATCAATCCAAATCGACTGGAACAGGCGATTTCAGCGGTTGGCTCAGGTGTTGATCGCCGTGGAATTTTTGAAGATTTCGTTGAAATGGTTCTCATTGTTCAACACGTCGTCCAGGACAAGGTAGGACTGAAAATAAACAAGATATTAGGATGTTGTACTAGGTGTAGGTAGGTGGTATAGAACTGTGAGTATCTCCGAAACTAGATGAGATATTGCCTCAATTTTTTGCATGAGGCATATCTAGACCTAGAGAGACTTGGGAAGCTTAATAATGCCGAGCTCAACTACATCATACTAGAAAAAATCCCTATATTATACTAGATGAGGAGCTAAAACTGGTATTACTATCATATCTCATCTGACCCGCAGCTTGCCATCCTGATATTTCGGATATATCAAGAGAATGCCCCTGTGTTCTAACTAGATACCACCGCTTCCACCCCCGACTTACCTCAGGGTTGATTTCCCCAAAATCTTGAGTCGAAGTCGTATCGGATAGCAGGTCATGCAAGTCCACCGGGTACTCGCCATCATCATCATTCGAACCGAACGGCGAGCAGTTCTGCGGCACCGAGTTGGGCGGCTGCTGATGCAGCTGACTCGCCGACATTGGGTACTGATGCACGGAGGGCGGGTGCTCGGAATGCGTGGACGTCACCGACGCCGGGTTCTGATTCATGACCACGTGGTTGGGCGTGGAGTGGCTGGAGCCCGGCTGCTGGTGTTGCGGGTTCATGGATGGGGTCATGGGCGTGTTCACGGAGCGGGGCGTGCCGCAGGTGGGGACTTGAGCGGGGACGGGCCCGCTCTGCGCGGGCTGGACGGTCTGGGGCGAGGGGAAACTGGTCTGCGGGCTGTTGAACTGATAGCTCTGACTCTGTTGGCTGGTCTGCGGCATCATGTGGGGCATGTAGTTGGGGAGTTGTTGTTGCTGCTGCTGTTGCATCATCTTCTGGTGCTGTAGCATTTGCTGTTGTTGCAGCATTTGCGGCGTCATCTGCGGGTTCATTTGAGGGTTCATTTGGGGGTTCATTTGGGGGTTCATTTGCGGGTTGGAATTCATCATCTGCTGTCGGCGGAACTGCATCATCATCTCGGGCGTCATGTTCTGCGGCACCCGCATCATCTGGCCGTTCATTTGTTGGGCCATCGCGTTGTTCATCATGTTCATGTTGGGGGGCATGTTCATCTGCATGTTGTTCATGGCGGGATTGAAGCCCATCGGTGGGGGGCCGCCTCGTTGCATGGGGTTGTAGTTGGGCGACTGGAGTGGGGGCTGTTGCTGCTGCTGTTGCATTTGGAACTCGGCCATCCGTTGCTGTTGTTGGCGCATGGCGTGGATGCGTTGCATCTCCTGCGGAGTCATTTGGCGCATCGAGAACTGCCCTTGACCATTCATCATGCCCTGAGGCATCCCATTTATTCCGTTCGCCATGTTGGGATTAGGCATTCCGGGCATGGCGCCCGGGTAGATGCTGCGTGGATCGCGTTGTTGCATGAGTTGCTGCTGGTTCATGTTGTTCATCATCATGCCCTGCGGCATGCCCATCATCATTCGGGGATTCATCTCCATGTTCGGCCTCTTCTGGCCCTGATCCGGATCCTCCTTTATCAATTGACGTTTCCGGCCCTAAATCAAGCAATTTTTAATCCCTTGTTTATCCGATATCCAAGGTGTTTTTTGTAAAGAAAATCTTTCATTTTTCTCGAAACAACGTTGAGAAATACCGAGATTACACCCCGTACAGCGGGTCACAGCGGATTTTCCGGGCTTCCAAAACCTTTGTGTCGTATTCAGACATGATTAACTAACGATCTCGCCTCTGTTTTCATCTTTTATTAGATGAAAATAGAGGCGATTCATCTGTTCTTCCGAAAACCATCCGAAATGCATGAAAATCCATAAAAATTTGGGGATTTTGCCAAAAAGTAAACACGTTACAGTAGCCCGCGGCCAATGTAAAGCCCGTAAACAATGTAGTTTGTCATTTCGAGGGGCTTAATGGCTAAATTTATCTTTGTTTTGCTCAAATCGAAGAGAACTTTGCGTTAGACTTACCTTTCCGCCGCTCGACGGGGGTTTCTGATCATTTGAGGGGGATTGGGAAGGGAGATTTGGCATGCCATATTCCTCTTTGACTTCTTGCTTCACACAGTCGTCCATGTGTCTGAAATTTTTTGTGGTTACTTATTTGTTTTTGGTTTTGTTGAGTGCACTGTGGTGTAGGAAGAAATTTGAATATTGCAAAAGGCCTTGGGGCAGGAAAAATAAAAATGGTATTTTTTGAAAGACTGAGGACTCTTTAACATGTCTATTACTAAAATTTTAATTAATTGCAGTCTTGCACGGTGCAATGTGCATTTTTAGATTTTGCACGGTGCAAATGGCTTTTTTGGAATTTTTGCACCGTGCAGCATGCAATTTGAAAAAAAAATGCAGCTGTGAAAAAAACAAGCTTTTCTAAGTTCACTAGAACTTTGAAAGCGACATAAACATTTTCCAGGACATAAGAAACCTTCATTTTTATCCTAAAGTAAGGTTTAGTCATCACTTTTCTCCCAAATCTTTAAAATTCCAGCCTAAACTCAAAAACTCTCCAAAACCAAAAAACTTACGGCTTAATCTGACTCATGAACTCGGTCTGCTGCTGATGAATACTCTCCGTATACGTCTGCTGACAGTAATCAACGAATCGCTCCTGGTTTTTCAGATGTTCCGCTTTTTGTTTCAAATACTCATCCTGGTTGGGCACGTGGAGTGCATCGGTCATAGCGCCCCAATCTGCAAACCTCACATATGTTGGGTAATTGAGAACAGACAAACGGATTGAAATTTGTTTCGAAAAGCGCAGAAAATACAAAAATTGGCGGGGGTGGTTCGTACGCGGAAAACTTGGCATTTTGTCGAGAAAACTGGTAAAAATAAGGTAATATAGTAAATACAAGTTGATTGAAGGAGATTGTGGACCACGAGGGATTCAACGAAAGTTGGGTTGGTACAAAAACAACCTTCCTTCTTTATGGAAAACGGGCGAAAACAGGGAAAATTGGGGGAAGTGAAGAAAAATGAGACTTAATCTACATTATCACGTGTTTTGCGAAATCCCACGTCCAAAAAACAGCTCAAAATCTTTTAATATCTTTGTTAATGTCGCTGTGGTTCTCTGGTAACCCAATGGACGGTAGTTTTTAGTTCGAAAAAAGGCTTTGTAACAGCTTCATCCAGCTAATTGGTAGCTGTAAAAACTTGGTTTTTGGTCCAACGAAGAGGGTTATTACAAGGAAGTCGGGGTGTGAAAATATTTAGTAGAATATAAGGATTAGGGAAATGCAAAAAAAGTTTTCTAAAAGTGCACGGAATTTTGTAAAAAGTAAGGAAATACGAAAAGGTTGTAAAATTAAGAGCCTAAGGGAAGATCGATAGAAAAAATCAGAAAATCGCGGCAATTGGAAGGCGCTATAGGGGTAAATTATAGGGTAGTATAGTAAAGAAGCAGTTGGTAGATTGTCTATAGTAAAGCCTTTGTATAACGAATCACAAGAAACCAAAAAAATTTGCTTTTGAGGGGTCTTGTTAGCCGCTAGTTCATGGCCGAAAATTAACTCGCAACGCCGTTAAAATAGTTTGTTGTAGAAAGTTTTTGCCCCACTAACGTTTTTTAGTTCCATTGACCTTTAATATACTATAAAACAGCTAAAACTATGACTCTAATTTCCAGCGCCACACTTAAAGAAACTTCAAAACATAAGAAAACGACATATTAACGAAATAGCCCTCGTCTCCAACGCATTCGGAACATAAATCCGCATAAACTTGCCAAAACAATAGGTCCGCGCGATCGCCCTCAGACTTTGCATCCATTGCCTATTAGAAACGCGCCCCCTAATCTGTTTGGAATCGGTTTGTGCCCACTCCCCACTTTTTCTTCTTCTTCTTGCCCCCTCCGCCTCCTCGCGCCCCTGCCGTTTTGGTCAGCAGCGCGTTTGCAAAGGCGGGCAGGGCGAGAAAAGGCGCCGAAAGTCGCCGCTGATTCTTTGGCACTCGCGAAAACAAGGCTGATTTGGCGCCCTCCTTCTCTGCGCACTCTCACCGGGTAGCAGCGACTCTGCGTGTCGCGAATGGACGGAAGAAACGGGCGAATAAGTGGGTTGGGAGGGGGGAGATCCTTCCGGTTCCGAGGAAGGTGTTTATAGGCTTTATTAGCAATGTTGCGACATTCTGCGCGATTGTGGGGGTGATATTGGGGAAAGGTAAAATACGGGATCATATTGTGATGGTGTAACATTAGATATCAACAAAAGATATAATGCTATACAATTGACGACAGTTACAACGAAACCTCTATATAACAGACAATTTAAGAGCTCGTAAGAGACGGCCTAAAATTTTAGCCTAAAATGCGCTTCTGCACAACAAAACCCTTCTATGACAAACAAATTTTTTAGCTTCTTTCGGGTCATTGTGCATAAGGCTGATCTCTATTTTACAATTTTTATAATTATTTACTGGAAAGTTCTAACTTGTTAATTCAAAATAAGCTATATAAAAAACTCCCCTGCAACAAAGCCTCCCTATAACAAACATTTTCCAAGGTCCAAAAATCCAATTTTATGCCAAACTGAACCTTGGCCGACAGAACGGCCTCCGCCGGCAAAAAAGTCTCCGCCACGCCTCCGCGAATGTGTAAAACATTCGAAAATTAACCAAGACTTACAGACGACATATTAAAAAATGTGACAACACTAATTACATTCGCATTAAAGACCTCTGCGCTTTGTAACAAGATGTAATTTTCCAAAAAAAGACGTCAAATGTCTCCGCCGAAAAAACGTCTCTCCGCCGAAGCGAGAAAAAAATCTTTTACATATTGTAAAAACATACGACTTCAAATTTCAAAAGCAATTTAGATTTCTCAGCTAGCTGCAGGGAACGCAAAGATATTCGCAAATATATATTTTGTCAAAGATTTCTTGAAACATAATTTATAACGAACTAGTGTCTTGAGTCACAAAGTTCGCGACAACTACAAAACGCAAACCACAATACGCCAAATATTATGCAAAATTATATGTTATAAAACACCCTCAGACACTCAAATAAATGAAAAAAGAATACAAAACACTGTAAAAAGTGGTAAACTTGGAAAAAAAAGAGTCTAGCCCGGAGATCGCTCCAAAAAATTTTCTCAATTCTTATGAAACAGCTAAAAAACAAAGAGAACGGTAAACAACGTTTGCAAAAATATATGCAAAAGCCAAAGCAAACAGAGAAATGATGAACATACTTGTAACATCAAGGGTACAATCTGCTGATAGTAAGAGGGAAATGCGACGGATTAAGCGCCTGGGGGAGAACTTGATTGAATATGCAAGGTAGTTTACTATGTTTATAATAGTATTTTCATAAAGAGTGTAGACTTTTTTCCGGGTTTTTTGCCGCCACCTCACAGTGCGATTTTGCTTTTGTCGCGGGAATTTTGATTTTCGCACAGTGCAAAATATGAAAATAGAAATGCACTGTGCAGGAAATTCAAAAATTTTTTTTGCACAGTGCCAGAACTTCAAAGGTTGCGTCACAGCAATGTTTTGATGCACGGTGCGAAAACTAAAGATGCACAATGCAAAATGGCGACGAAAAGTCTACGCATTTTATGAAAATTTAAGTTAGTAGTAGTATTTTACGAAATTTCAAGTAGATATCAGTCTGTCGGGAAAATATTGAGCGCTCGCTGCGCCAACCGCGTCACTCAAGTAAAAAGCCATTTGATTTTGCCGCGACACAATTCATTTTCTTGGCGGCGATGCGATTTTCGATGCGACATTGTGCTCATTATTTTCCCGACAGACGGATACAGAAAAGCCTCAGTACAAAGAAGCTTATATAGTAAACAAGAACTGTCTATAAAAAACAACTTCAGGCGTCTTAAGAGTCAATTTTAGGTCAGAATAAACTTCTGCACAACAAAACCCCTCCATAACGAATAAATTTTTTTCTTTCCGGGGGTTTTATTGTGCAGAGATCTGTCTGTGTTTTGCTGTCTTTACTGAGTAATGTAGAGCAAAATAAAAGGTTATATAGAGTAAAGAAGCAATACGACAAGCTCTCGTACAACAAAACTTTCTATAGCACACAAAAAAAGAGGGGTCCTAATAGTTACTTTGCAGCAAAAATCTCCGCAGAACGAAACTATTGCATAACAAACACATTTCTTACAAAGCACTGTATACCACCACAACTATAGCCCAACATATCTCAACACAAAAGCCTCGTGTTCTCCCGCTACTTCCATTCCTCAACCCACATTGATAAGCACATGTTTTGGTCAGAAACAGAATTTTCGTGACAAAACGAGAGTCGATCAGACCTTTCCCCGTTTCCCCCCTTCTCTCCGTCTCCGCTTTCTCTTCGTTTTTTTGGGACTAGCCATTCGCTCGTTTCCTTCCTTCTCTCTCTCTCGGATCAAACAAATCCGAGGCAATCAAAATTTTGGGGACTGCAGGCTCCTTGCGTCTTCGTTTCACGAATCATCTGGCTGATCTTTGAGGTTTTGCGGTTTTGGAAGGAGAGGAAGTTAATTTACAAGTTGTATTATACATCAACTAGCAATGAAGAGAAGAATAAGTGTAAAATACGAAGTAATCGGTAAGGTTGCTAACAAAGAAATATCGGTCTGTCGGGAAAATAATGAGCACTCTGTCGCATCGAAAATCGCATCACCGCCGAGAAAATTAATTGTGTGGCGACAACATCAAATTGCTTTTCACTTTTACACCTATGTGATCGGCTCAGCGACAGAGCCCTCCCGACAGACTATACAGTCAAGTCTATGCACTAGTCGGGCCAAAACAGCCTTGAAATTTTTTTCGCACAGTGAAACAACTTTTCGCAACACACGTCAAGACTTTTTGGCCCTTTTAATACAAGGAACTGCAAAAAATCAAAAAAAAAGTGTTCGTTATAGAACGTTTTTGTTCTACAGACCCTCATTTTTCTCTAAAATCATCTTTTAGGCCTTGTAAAATTGTTCGTTTAGTTTTCTGTCCGAAGGTTCCACTTTTTCTTCGCTTTTTCCAAACTCTTGAAAGCACAACTTTTACAGCAGTTTTTTCAACAACGCCCTTCCCGCAGATTCCACTTCTCCATGCGTCCCTAAAGCGTTCCGAAGCCGTTCCTACGGTATCGTTTGCACTTCCTATTTACTGTCCATTCTTCGGCCTTCCTTATTACCGAAAACATCAAGGACATTGAGCCATAAAAAGCCGCGACTTTTCTCTCTTCATTGCCTCGCGCTCCCCTCGCCTAAACACTCTGCCGTCGGTCGCGGCAGGTCAGGTCGGTTGGTCAAAAAAAGAGACGAAAGCTCGAGTCCGGCACTGTAAGCCTGCTCGTTTACAGGCGTCGAGAGAGAGGGGGGACTGAGGTAGAGTCTGTGTGATCTCTGCGCTTTCTCCGGCTCCCCCCAACAGATCGAGTGTCCATCCCCAAAAACAGAGTGTTCCGAGGGCGAGAAATCGGAGAAAGGAGGCTGGGATGGGCGGCTGATCGGTGACGGAGTGTGCCAAGTATTGTGGCGCGCTGGTGCCATCGAAGGAGCGGAGGGTAAAAAAAAATGAAAGAAACATTGTGATTTCGACACAAAAGGTGGTCAATACCGCAAATGGAGATAGAGCCATGCCTCTGTATAGCAAATCGCAAAGGAACTAAAGAATAGATTTGTCATCAAAGGGTTCGCTGTGTAGAGGTTTATTTCACCCTCAAAATGACCCTTGAAATCTTTATTATGTCTCGTTATAGAGGGATATTGTTATACGAAAGTTTTTGCACGAAGGTTCCACTGTATGTGACAATACACAAAATTTGTGAAAAGACCTTGGCAAGGAAAAAACAAGCGAAAAAATGCTTGTTGTTCGAAATCTCATGTAATAATACCCCTCGCCCTCTTACCAATTCGAAAACAAACAACAACTGCTATAAAACTCCCAAAATTAACCGTTAAACAACAACGCATTACACAAAACCAAATTTGCACCCCATCGCCCCGGTCCGGAACCAAAATTTCATCGGCAAAGCCTTTAAAACGACTTCCCCGTTCAGCGTGATGCCGAAAGTGACCAGTGATCACCGACGATTCGGGAAGCGGAGCATCAATCAGCGCTCGATGAGCGTGCCATAAACAAACAAGAACGAACGAATGGGGGTTGTTTACCGAAAAACAACGGAAGGAGCCGGGCCCCGGCTTCTTCATTAATTATAAAATCAGAGAATCGGAATTAAAATCTGTTGAGGCCGGATGGGTTGTGACTACTGTCTAGACTATTAATAAGATGAAAAATAATTAAATTGGGAAAGGTAATTCCATGTAATTTGCTACGGAATAAACATACGGACCGAGCGATTTCGTATTCGCCGAATTTCTATGGAAAAATCGTAGTCATGACTAATGGAATATACAGTCCAAGACCTGCAGATTGAGTGAGCGCTCCTTCGCCCCCAAAAAAACAAGCGCCACATTTGGTGGGGATCGCGATAAACATGACGGTCAGTACGCAAATCCACCGCCTCGCCCACCCGCGGCAGCCGACTGTCGGGTAAGCGAAACGGGGCAGGCAAGTCGATCGCTTTACTCGCCCCTTATGTTTTTCTTCCGATTTTCGTCGATTTTTTGCCCGTCTCTTAGGGGGGTTTCGTTCCATACTCCTGCTGACCCCCTTTTTTATCCACATAGCCTTGGTGCTGCGGCGGCGACGACGACGACTTCTTGCCTCCATCGCCACCGCCGCCTCCTCGTTCCGTCGTCTTCGGGAGGGCCCCGACTGATCAGGCCCAAATCGAGGCAAACGCGGGGATGGGGAGTGAGAAGAGAGTGTTAAATAGTCCCTTCGACATTCAGCCCCAATGGACGGGGAGCCGCGACAAAACGGGTGTTGGGGCAAGAGGAGGTGGAATCAATAGGATAAAGCTCCACCGTACACCTTGTGTCATTGTTGACAATCAGCGTTGGACAGTGTAGCAGACAGTCGGTTTTGAAGGCTTCTACTATTGGCCTTGCAACCTAGATAGACCGCCTATACAGCGACTTGCGGAATATCAGCCCGTCGGGAAAATAGTGAGCGCAATGTCGCTGCGCCGATTGTGTCGCTGAAGCGATATCCCCACCTCGCAGAGCAACCAATAGCGTGAAGAGCCGCGTGTCTTATTTTCTGCTACGTTCATCTTGCCGTCTACTAGAGTGTAATTGATGATCTCCCGCTACGAGCCGGTGCCGAGAGTACGGTACGAAACCCCGGGCCGAATTCTCGCGAAAGAGGTGAAATGTTGTTCCAAGTCATCCTCCTCGCCCGGCGGCCGCTCACTCTCCCCGAAAATGGAGGGAAACAAATTGGCCGCAAGAAGGCGGACGAGCAGAATGGAAGGCGAGGCAGAAAAGGTTGCAGATCCGCCACGAGGGTTTTTGTGGGCCCGGAAAACGGAGGTCACATCGCATGGGCAGGGCCTGAAGGTCGAGCGGGCCCGGCTACTCCACTTACACGCCCAATCTGCCAAAGGCAAAACCAGAAGCGGGAAGTGGAGATTGTTCAAAACAACGTGCAATATCACAGACTATACCTGATGGCTCTTAACCCGCCATTATACTCGAATCGCAAACACACCAAAGCCCGCATAAAATTGAATATTGAACTGAACAGTTTAAAGCGAATTCTGATTAGGGCGAAAGGCGCAATAAACCCCCCACCCGTATCACTTTCGATTGAACACGTCGGAAGAAAGGGAATTGCATTTTCTGAGCGTTCCTTCAACGCCGCGTCATCGTCTCTTTTCGAGTTGATTTGGCGTTGAATTAAAAAATTTTGGAGAGCAAAATCAAGTGATCAGTAGGTCAAAGAAAAATTTGTTTGTTGGTTGCAAAGTTGACGTGGAGATTTGGGAAAAGAAACAGAGAAAAATGCTCTCTCGCTGTGGGAATGGACCCAGAACAAAGCTGGACAAGGAAAGAATGGGAAGGATAAAAAAATCGCTGGAGCAAAGCTTTTTTATAACGAATGATTTTAAGATTACCAAATACAACTTTAGGACAACTCAAGACGTATACAACGAACCGCTTCTGTAGCGAATAAAACTTTTTCGTCCTTGGAATTCGTTGTAAACTTTTTTCTTTATGGTCCCGAGGGGCCACGAAGCAAAAAAAACTCGTATATAACGAAACCTGTCTACAACAAAAAATTTCAGAGGTTCAAAAAAGTAAATTCGGAGTCATAAACAGGATTTCCAAAATTTTGTTGGATGCGTTTGGAAGTTCTTTTCACGTGATTTGCATGCATGTTTTGATCCGCCCAGCGCAAACAGAAAAAGAGCATATAAACAAAACGAACGTCATGCCTTTGATTCCTTCGTCAGAGCAAAAACATTTGGTTATCGAACGCTTCAAAGCCGGACCACCCATAGCCGCCCAAATCACAGTCTAATTTTGTAATCAAGATTAATAAAGCGACGTCCATGTTGCAAAACAAAAATATCAGAACCGACGCGAGACCCGGGATCTCTGCGAATAACAGGTATAACCAAAAACAAAAAACAACACCAAATGTGAAAACAACCGGGGTTTAAGCCCCGTACAGTAGCCCGCCTGCGGAAAGATGGCCCTTTGCCCGCGGGGCAATTTATTTGATTAGAAATACGAAAATAGTCTGGGGACGTGCACATTCGCAAGTCGAGTGCTTTTGTAGCCGTGAACCATTTCACAAGCTCGAAGTTCGCGTACCACGCCGGTTTCGCTCTTCCTTCGTGATTGTTGTGGCGCCGCGAGGGTTGTAAAAGCGGCGGTAAACAAGGATTCCACAACGAACCCGCATCTTCGCGTTTCCGAACTCGACCAGGAGTCCAGAAACACGGCGGCGAACGGGGATGAAGCGCGTACGGAAGAAAAGTGGAAGGCCCGGTCTTCGGGATGGAAATAGTTTGCCCGAAACGGAGGGTGCTCTTCCGTTTTCGGCCGCTCGATGTCTTATTTTGCCTCATTTTTGCGAGGAGAAGGACCTTCGCCTCCTCATGCGCCTCCTTTTCGCAGTTTAAAGACAAAAAGATCAGTGCCTCAGAAGACCAAGTCCAACACGGTTCCGAGCGTGTGTGTGTCTGTGGGTGTGTGTGTGGTGTGTGAAGCGTTTTGGAAGTAGCGGGGCAGGAGGAGGAGTGCGGAATTTCGGTGGTTCCGAAGGGTCGTCGAGACAAGGCGCCGCAGTGTTATAAAAACTATAAAGAGGGGACTCGGTGGTTAAGGATGGATGGACGGAAGAGAGGGCTCGGCTTTGTTTCAAACAGTAACTTATAGACCAATATAACAGTCATTATGATTACTGTGTGATTACAGATTACAGTCAACCATCTGCACAGCAAAAGGGAATGACAAACAAATTATCAGCATGTCGGGAAAATAGTGACCGTCGCGACGCGTCGCATCGAAAGTCGCATCGCCGCCGAGAAAATGAATTGTGTCGCGGCGAAATCAAGTTGCTTTTCACTTCAGCGACGCGATTGGCGTAGCGACGTTGTGCCCATTATTTCCCCGCCAGGCTGTCATATGCGTTATACAAGGTGCCGTTTCTACAGCAAGTTTTTATTCCGACCCAAAATTAACTACCGCAACCTCCGAAATTGTCCGTTATAGACAATTTTTGCTGTGCGCCAACCTGTTGTACAGAGGTTTGACTGCACTAGTAATCATAAGACCCTACTACCCGAATGACGATCTCCACATACGAAAAACTCATTTCAACCCTTCCATTCTCCTCTCCGACTTTCAAACCGAAAAGAGGCGAAAACGATGACAGAAACGAATCCGGAGGCAAAAAAACACCGGCGCCGGATTTTTGAGCGAGCAGTGGACGGAGGGGAGGAAAGAAAGGGGAGAGAGAGGCAAGGGTTGCGGGCTGACTAATAAGGGCCGTGATCTCCTTTCCCCTCCATATGAAAAGTATCCCTTTACACAGTTAATTCTACGTTTTCTGCACGAAACACGGATCCGGGTCAGACGCCGACGATCCGAAAGCGAATCTGACGCGAAAGAAACGAAACAGCTGTACCGTACGATCGTTGCAACAAAAAAAGACTCGTTGCAACAAGGCTTGGCGCTCCGGCGAAACACTTGTGATCGGTTGCCGAGAACACTGTCCGGTCAACGACCTTGATGGTATCACACCGTTCGCAAGACAACAGTGGAGCGGGGGAAAAGCGAACGCCTGAAGGAGAGCATGTGATCCCCCGGAAGACCCTTTTTTCAGCATAAGAAAATATTTATTGAAACAAATAAAAATGGAGCAAATGGCGGCGAGAGGAGTTCATAACCCTGCAGCGGTTCGAACGGTGATCTGGAGTTGGAGAGATGTGGAAGAAAGCGAAAAGAGGCTCTTAAGACTGTTAATAGAAATGTAATTGTTAATGGGGGTTACTATATGGGAACATCAACGACTTCTTGATGGGTCAGCAGAGTTCGAGAGGTCTAGCTTAAATGGGTTGTAACAAAGTTGTAACAAAAAATTACTGTAGGAAAAGGTCACCCTAGCTAATTTTGACGACCGTAAAAGCCTTAAAACACACAGAATTTTGGTCAGACATAATGTCAAGACTTCTGGCCCCCATATTACAATAACCCCGCATACAACAACACCTCTATATAACAAACAAACGAAGTCAGATAACTCGACCCTAGGGCAATTTAAACCTCTATACAACAAAACCTTTCCATAACGAATAGATTCTTGCAACTCGTTCTACAGAGGTGTGACAATGTTAATATCTACCACCCACCGTCCCGCTTCCATCCCCACGTTTCCATTGAACCGCGCATGTAACGCGAATGATCAAAGACCAAGAAAAAAAGTTCCTTAGAAACCAGACAAACTCAGAACCGAGGCAATAACCATGCATCAAAAGTGTCTGCACACCCCTCCTCTCCCTACAGCGGTAAAATGATTACATCGTCTGTGAAAAACTACAACCCGCCAAACAAATATTATTTGGATTAGAGGCAAATTATCATCGTATAGACGGTATTGTCGCGTCAAAACGATGTGATGACTATAAATATTAAGTGGTAAAGTCCAAATGATGATATCAAGCCGTTAAACATGAACTTAAAATGCGCGTCGTAAAAGTTTGGGGATTGGAATTTGAATGGAGAGAAATCGCGAGATCCGCGTCGAAAATTCCACAACCGTTTTTTTCGTGTTTGAAGAACCGCCGGTTTTATTGGAAAACGGGAGTAATTTACCTTTGAGCGGCGCATCCTCTACCACACAACCTCTTCCACCCCCAAAATGGGGGAGCACTGAAACAAGGCCGTGGGAATTTCGAATACCCGCATTCCGGGCGTACGTAACGCCGCGTAACGAGAGCATAATCAATGCCTTACCTGGAACTGGAACGGAGTCGGGCTGAAAACACCTGTCGAATAACCGGAAGTCAACACAACTTCAGGGCAATTCCGAGGGCGCTTTTGTAGATTTAATGCTGAGAAATTGGAGGAGCTTGATGTGTGGCGCGAATGGGAGACATTAACTATCTGAAAGTGGTGGGTTTTTTTGGGGGAGCAAAAGTACGAACTTGATATCTCCGCGCAATATTAACACAGACAGTGATGTTCTGTACAAAGAACTTTTTTAAACAGAACACTGTTTATAACGACCAATTCTAGAGTTCTCAAAGGCCAATTCGAGGTCAAAATGAGCTTCTGTAGAACGAAACTCTTCTACATCAAATAATTGTTTTGCCATCTTTCGACTCATTGGACTTAGCTAACGCCTGTGTAGGTCCCAGTAACGCATTTTACTCAAATCACAGTAGCATCATAATACATGGCATATATTTACGTACATACAATAAATAATCTTCGCAAAAAGCCTTGATCAGCTTATAAAAATTTTAGCTTCAGCTTTGCAAAAGTAGCGGAGGGATTCAAAGATCCGTACCGACGAGATAGTGCGCAAAAAGTGGAGAGCAGTCAAAGAGCAACGTGCAACATGTTTTTGGCCATATTTTTGCAAATTCCACGTAGAAAAAAAATATTTTTTAGAGAACGCTTGCTTATTACACTAGAAAGAAAAGGACAACTGAAAAAAAGACAAGTCAACGTTCTACCGATAAAAAATACTTCGAATTTCAGGCAAAGTTTTGATCAAAAATTTTTAATTTTTTCTCCAAAGCGCCACTCAGAATCCTACTATCAGAAAAAGCTCTGTATATCTAACTTCTATGCTACAGAAGCTGCCCATTACAAACTTTTTCAGAGACCCCACAACTCAATTTTTTGCCAAACGAATCTACGTCTACGTTGTACTACAAAGCCCTTCTATAACGACTAATTTCTCTGATCCCTTGCGATTTCGTTGTATAGAGGCTTCGTTAACTCAATCTTACTCCAAAATCCCCCCAATCAACCACTTTTTATGTTCTACTTTCCCCCATAATCTCTACCCACCCCAAACAACAAGCTCCCAAACAAACTGGTAAAAACCGCAGGCTCGAAGACGCAAAACAACCGCGCCCCGTCATCTCCTGGTCCTGTTTTTATTTATTTCCTCGCCCCGAGTACAGGTTGAACACTCCAAAAACGAAGAAAAAATACGCTCTGTTCGAAAACAAAACGGTCGTTATTGTAAGCGGCGGAAATGGGGATGGTCGGAGAATAAGGCAGACAAGATCTTGAACCGAGCAAAAAACAAGATAATAGTCTCGGCAGCGACTTAATCTGTTTGTTGTTTTTTTGGGGAAGATAGGGCACAAGGAAGCCATGGGAATTGAGACGACGCCGACCGTAAGAAGTCGGCCACGGTGGAGTGGAGCTACTTCTACTCCGGTCAAGTGGAGCCGTTGTACAGCAAACCGCAAGGAAAAAAATGTTTGTTGTTGTGAGGCGGAACGACCGAGCTTCGAGGATTTTCCCACGAGGAACGATCTACATTTATTCAAATTTGATTGTACTTTCCTACGTGGGGCTTCCCTATAAAAGGGCCTCCTTTCCACTGAATAAATCACTTGACTCTTGAGCGTCTTGTCTCGTTACTGGGTTGTCGGGCCTTTGGACAGTTGTGCTAGTCGGTTCGTAAAATCGCTGGAGTGATTTCTGCGAAATGCAGTGTGAGAAAACAAAAATTTGCTTTGCACTGTACAATTTCATGCTTTTTGCACCGTGCAATAGGCTTTTCTAGGCTGTCGTTCGTAACTTGACTTCTTCTGCACAGTGAAAACACCAAAAATTTCTCCAGCAATTTGCGAACAAACTAGTAGAAAGGTTTCTTTGTATAGAGGTTTATTTTGGCACAATATTGATTTTTATGTCTTTGAAATCGTTTGTTACAGACAGGTTTTGTTGCTGGCGAGTTTTACAAAAGTTGTATAATAACGTATAATACTTATTTTTCAAAAATTATTATACTTATTTCAAAGCTTCAAACCCTATGAAAAAGGGATTGATTTAGGCGTAAGATCGCACAATATACCCCCAAGACCATGAGGCCGTACTTTTCCGTTCGCAAAGTAGCTGGAGTGGTTTCTGCGACATGCATTGTGCGAAAACAAAAGTCTAATTTGCACCATGCAATAGGCTTCTTTGGCTTGTCGCTAGCTCCCTGATTTTATATGCGCAGTTCACGTCGCCGAAATTAGTCCTTTACGAACGTTCTACAGTGAGGGACCTGATCCAGTGGCAAAAAACGTACCATTTTGCATCCGGGAAGTATCAAAAATTTGGCAAAATGCCTCCCTCTCCGACTAAAAAACTCCGGTTTGAACTGCTTTCCCTCAGCGCGCGCTTTTGAAATCTGAGTTTTTTTTTACTTGGGGAGGGAGGTAGTTTGGCTGCATTTTTGATACTTCCCGGATGCAAAATGGTACGTTTTTGCCCAATGGATTAGGTCCGCCACTGTAGTAATCAGATCAAATCGCTGAAGTAATCGGCCAAGCCCCCCTAAAGCAACTATGGTAATACACCCTCCAACCACCGGCATCTCCTCTTCAAGCTACAATCCTCGATCGTCCACCATGCCTTCCCCTCCTCAAACAACCGTTGAAACAAGCTCGTTGGGGGGAGAAAAACAACCAGTTGTTTTTTGTTTTTCCCCGCAGCGCACGACGGTGTAGATCTCCGCGCTCCAGCGGAAAAAACCAGAGACGACCAAACATGTACCGACCGAAAAACAGAACCGTAAAGACGCCATTACAGGGAAAAAACTTGAATGATATTGGGACGAAAACAGGCCGAAGATTGCCGAGAATTTGTTTTTGGGGATAAACAAAAGTCAAGGGGAGTTCCTTATCGGTTAAATAGGGGGCTGCTGAAGGCATGCTTAATAGGGTTCTTGTTGTTTGTTTGGGAAAAAAAGGAGCTATTTCCGGATATCAGTCTGTCGGGAAAATAATGAGCACAATGTCGCTTGGGTGATCACGTCGCTGAAGTGAAAAGAGATTTGGTTTTGCCGCGACACAGTTCATTTTCTTGGCGGAGATGCGATTTTTGGGATGCGACAGAGTGCTCATTATTTTATCGACAGACTGATAAAAAACAGAAAAATCGTTGGCACAAAAAAAAACTTTTTATAAAGAGGTTTTACTGTATGCGTATTGACTTACACGGCCTCTAAAATCGTTAGTTATAACCATGTTTTGCCGGCTATACCGAAGTTCTACCGCGCAGAAAAATCCTCCTGGTCCCACCACGAAACCCTGAATTCGTAGTTTTCCTCCCGAAACTCCAATACCCACAGCATCAAGGTTCCCTAAGCCCTCAAGACGAGTCTGTTGCCCATGCCGTTTCGCTACCGTATGCCAAATGAAAAATCTCTCCTCAGCGAACAAGTTGGACCGATGACCCTCCCCCTCCTTTCCGAATTCGACTCTGTGTGCCATCTGAAGCCACGAGAAAACAAACCGCGCACTAATCGTTCGTTTAACCGTTTTTTGGGCGATTTGTCACCATCTTCGCCCAGCTCCGTCCCTTATTTTCCTGGACCCGAATTCCCCGTGTCGGGAGGGCCGGTCGTTATTTGGCCAAATGAACGGCCCCCTGAAGCACAACACAATCCCCGCGCTTCACCGCGAGACAGATTTTTCGTCTTCGCTTCTCCACCACTTTGTTTTTTGCGACTCCAATCGGCTCTGTAAATCGCCTGAAGCAAATCGAAAAACAAGACGACCGAAGACAACAACGCCCAGGGTCAAGCCCGGGGAAAGCGTTGACCAGGAAAAACAAAAAAAAATCTGTCAACAAATTTGCTTTCGCCGTCAAAGATTAATCATCGCACCGTAAACAAACGGCGGGATTTTGTAATTCCTTTCATTTGAAAGCGAGGAATTATTGTAGGGCCGGCTTTATGGACATGGACAAAAATAAACATGCAGATAATGAGTCTTGGTTTCTAGTCAGTTCGTAAAGTCGCTGGAGTGATTTCTGCGACATGCACAGCGCAAAATAAGTCAGTTAGCGACAGCTGAGAAAAGCAATTTTTATGGTGCAAAAAGCAAAAATTGCACAGTGCAAGGTGGACTTTTGTTTTCGCACTGTGCATGTTGCGAAAATCACTCCAGCGACTTGGCAAACGGTCTAGTATAATAATAAAGGCTGGGTCTAACTGTAAGGGACAAACGGATTCAAATTTTGAGGATCAAAAAGTTTTCATGGGTACCTCAGTACAAAAGTAGTTATCTGAATGTAGTGTATCAGTCTGTCGAGAAAATAATGTGGATGTGTCGCAGCGCCAATCGCGCCGCCGAACTGAAAAACAATTTTATTTTGCAGCGACAAAATTCATTTTCTCGTCAACGATGCGATTTTCGGTGCGACAGAGTTCTCATTATTTTCCCGAAAAGCTGATACATAATAAAAAATCGCAAGGGGCCAGAAAATTTCTTTCGTTATAGAAGGATTTTGCTGTATGGAGGTTTATTTTGACCTAAGTTGACACTTTACACATCGTAAATTGTCCGTTCTAGACAGGTTTTGTTGTACGCATATGCAGACTACACTGTAGCTGTTTTCGTGCCAAGACCCAACAATACGTGTTAATCTCAAAAACTATGCGTCACTCGACGTTTTCATGGGACTGATCTTTGATCTTTGTCTATGTTACTGCAATGATGGATGACAACGCCTCTCATCCGAAAAGTTAAAAATAAGCGCAAGTTCCGCGCGACAGTCGTCAAAAATAGTTTCAGTCCCCAGAATTCCCTTCGCATGTCATTTTCATCTCCGATCCCTAATAGGCCATGAATTCAGACCCGTAAAAACTTGCTGCACTTGCTCGGCACAGCCTATTGGATAGTATAACATCTTGCACTTTCCTCGACTCCCATCCCCGAAACCCGTGACCGCAAAAAAGCATTGAAGACAAGGTGCGCGCGGCGCCCGAAACGGAATCTGGCCCAGCCCATCGCCGCCGGCACGGAATGCCCGACCGAAAAGTGCTTTCGGGATTAAATGCCGAACAAAAACGAAGGCGCACGGAGAATGGCGTTTCGGAATCCATTCTCTAACCATACATTAAAAAAACCTGTCCCTCTCCGCCGGGCCTTCCCCCCACTGCAATTCCTGACGCGCCGGCATTAAGGGCGGCCATCCCCTGCACGGCCTCCAAAAACCCCCGCCGGGGCATGTTGTGATAGCGATAATTAAAACAACCGCAAATCCGGACCAAGGAACGGCGAAGAGGGAGACCGCTCCAGCACGAATATAATGAGCTTTTTGGGGCCGGATGACGTTCAGGACTGGGTGAGGAACAATAAAAATGACGTCATCAGGGTGTTCCTCTGATAATTTCGGAGCAAAACTATTTTGTTGTCTCGGCTTTTGCTTCAGTCATTAGACCGTAAAAAACATGGTAAAAACAAAGTGCAAACCTCTGGACAACGAATGGCAGAGTGCCAAAGGAATAAAAAAAATTTAATTCTAGAGAGGTTTCGTGGTATTTGGAAGCAATATACATCTCAAATTACAGCAAAAAACAACTCGAGGAGTCACAGAGAAATCAATGGCTATACAGCCCAAAAATCCATCATTTTGGGTCCCGACACGAAAACAATAAAATCGGCCAATAATCGCAAAAATTGCAGGCACACACATAGACCAAAAAAGATACATGTCTATAAAACTCCAACATCCGAAAACACACCTTGTAATTGGTCCCGACACGAAAACAACCCAATTTCTTCAAACTCCTTTCAAAACACCCTGTTTCATGGGAAAGCTGTTTATAGAAAGCGTCTCAATGATCAGGTGCATTTCCTCATATTAAACAGTTAAAAGTGCATTTCAGAAAAAGTGTCCTAATGCGAAATTAAGCCTGGATTAGACGGAATGGACCTCCACACACGGAAGATATAAAAATACTTCGCGTCCAAAGAACTGCTCAGTCTACATTTCCTGAAATGCGAATCTTCGAGGAGTCTACTAACCTAGAGTGTTCTTAAAGTGCGATTTCGAAGAAATCCGGTGACGATAAGGGCGTACAATACAAACTGCCGTCAGCTGGGTGTTCGTGGAATTCTCATAAGGTGTTCAAAGAATAAAAAAACAGATGAAATAAAATCTTAAGGCTCTTGGAGGCCTGCATTTTTCTCTACTGGACCTTACGGTAGCCTATGTGCACCACAAACCCCACTACGACAAAACCCATTCGCAACAACTGATTCCAACGGTCCTCGGAGTCGACCTTTGGCCAAAATGAACCGCCCTACGACGAAACTCTTCCACAACACACAACTTTTATAGTTTGTTGCGGTTCGCCGTGCAGAGATTATTGTTTTTTTTTTCAGTGTTTACCCAACGTGCCCATGTGTTTACAACGCCCGCAATTCTTTAGCAAAAATTAAGGAGAGAAAACAAAATGTTTCTTCTGGGCCCCGTGGTTTCTGCAAAAAATCAGCTTTTTTAGCAGCTTTGGCAGAGATATAGTCAAAGAACATTGCTCTGAATAACAGTTAGAAAATGGCCGAATTTTTTGGCTATGCCAAGAGCTGAGAGTTCGCACTTTTAACGCTTTCTTTGTTATGTAGAGTTTTACGTGTATGAGGGTCCCTATTCTAGGTTCTATCTAAAATCCGAAGCTTAAATAGTACCATACAAAACAAGTAACTAAGCCCTAGCTGAGTGTATGAAGGTCTCTATTCTAGGTTCTGTCTAAAAATAAGACCCCTAGCTCAAATAGTGCTATAAGCAATCACAAAACGGTTAATTATGCCCTAGCTGAAAGGCACTTAGGGCGAGAATGAAAACGATCAACTCATAATGTTAGAAAGCGGATATAGCGGTGTACGGTAAGCTGTTCCAAGCAACAGTATAGTACACAAATAGAAATACACTTTATTGCTCCAAACACGACCGGAGATATGCAAATTCGCACGCGGAGTCGTGACAGTTAGCCTTTGCTTTATACATGTCTTTATGTAACGGCTAAATGATGACTTATACTACATCTACAAACATCCACAAACAACTCATTAAGAATGGGAATGACAGACCTTTCCCGGAATCCCCAAAATTTTCGAAAACTGAACAGAAATAGCGACTGCAGGAAACAAAGTGGAGAAGAAGCTCAAGTTTCAGATGGAACGCCGTCGACTCAGCCGATCTCTAATTCCTTATGTGGAAACCCTGTCGGCGAAAAAGCGCGGGGAGTTCATCTTCCTACCTGCTCTTCCCTTATTTAGCGGGAAAGCACGCGCTCAAAATTCGTGCTTCCGGCTACAAAAACGTGAAAGGATGGGCGGTAAGGTGAGGGAAATTGTAATTAAAACTGGGTGTTTGTTCAAAGAAAAGCAAGGGAGGAAAAATGAAGTCTTTGTTTTGGTATACGAATTCGCGTAGAACAAAACCTTCCTATAACAAACATTTTCAAGGGTTTGACACTCTAGTTTATACCAAAATGAACCTAAATACAACGAGATTCTCATATAGCCATTTGCAATTCGTTCCGCAGAGCGTCAAATTTACGCGTTAACTGCCAAAATCCATGTAAAATCGTTGTGGAACAACCCGCTTTCCCAATTATCATATTGAATTCACGGGCGCATAAGTGCAGGCCTCCCCAAACAACAACAACACAACAAGGAGGCCCAGCGAAAACACCCGCCGCTAAATCTAACTAATATTGACACAAGGAAAAACAATCGCGTAAAGCGAGGGCCACAACAATAAACAAGGCTGATATCATGACAGTAGCTGCGCTGGTAAATATTATATAATAATCACGGGGAGTTGTAACAAGGGCTCGGGAATTAAGGAAACCTATGGATTCAAGTTTTCGTTGTGGAACGCGGAGGATTTTTTGTACAGTAAAATCTCTGTAGAGAAAACCTTTATGCTATATGTATACAAAACACGGTCAAAGGTAGCTCTGGCTATAACAACATGATCAAGGGTACTCTAGCGGTCGTAAAGACAATTTTTTGTCGATTTCTTCTACCGTATTCGACATTATCTTACACTTGATGGGGTATCCTTTCAATGCTGTCAAGACTTTTTACAGCAACTCCTATACGAAAAACATTCTTTATAACAAACAACTTCAGAGGCCATAAGCTCATTTTTAGTCAAAATAAAGCTTCATACAACGAAACTCCTCAATAAACATATTCTTTTTGCGACCCGTTATGATATGTAGGCGATTGTAAGCTTATCAAAGAAAGTTTCAAATAAAAATCAAAATATTTTTATTTATCCACCAAGTTATAGTGTTAAAGATTAGTTGAAATATGATTTCGCAAGGGTTATCATCGAAAAACAAACAATCTTTTTTTGGCTCCAACAAAGATTGTTTTTTTGCAACCTCAGGTAAACAGGAGTAGTTTTGCTGAAAACAAACGGAAACCCCTCGATCGTTGCTGCAAGGTGCAAGCTGGGAGTTTTGCAAGGA